ACGCCGACGCCTGAGACCCCCGTGCAGGAGGTGCCGCCCACCCCTGAGGTGCCGACGCAGGGTGTGCCTCCGAAGCAGGGTGTCCCACCCTCACCCGAAGTGCCCACCCAGCCAACACCTTCGCCATCTACACCGTCAACGCCTGAACTCCCGACGGATGACAGTAACTTGCCGACTCCTACGCCGACTAACCCTGGCAAGCAGGGCCCCCCTCCTCTGATCCCTGGCGTTACCCCCGAAACTCCTGTTCAATTCACGCCTCCTACCCCGGAGAACCCTGGTAAGGGCGTTCCCCCTTCCACTCCGGAGACGCCTGCTGTGACGCCCGCCGTTACCAAGCCACACACCTCGGACTGCGCTTTCTGAGCTAGAGCGATGTCATACATGACCAGTCGGGGTACTGAGATCTGCATTTGATTAGCATTGACGAGTTTTTCGAATCGCACATTTCACCTTGATATTTGAGTTCTTAAATGCATTTACAGTTTCTACGAATATGAAGTTCGCATTTGCAACTACATATACCAAATCTTGATGCACATCGAAGTACTTGTACATTTCGCAGGGAAAGATCTGCTATTCATCGCTATCGGTAACGTATTTTTTTCGTGTATGGATTACACCGATTTCTACTGCGTTTGGTGGATCCACCAGTGCATGATTGCCGGTGTATTTTAATTGAAGTCGAGTCAATCAATAATTTGATTAATTGCAACTAAGAGAAACCAGTTGAGGGCCGTCGATCAGTTAAGGGCCGTCGATCAGTTAAGGGCCGACGCAAAATTTAAAAAATGATATCATCTCGTTTCAAACACCAATCTTGTATTGGGTGAGAGCCTTCCATAACCGACTTCTGATTTTTTTTTATCCAAGGGCTAGGGGGTCCCTAAAATCGTTATTAAACGCGGTGATTTATACTGATACGGCGGAACCTTGCCTCTGACCAGTCGCCTCACATAATTAAGGGTTTTAGTGGCTTAAATAACTCTGCTTTACTCCTAGAAATTCGACGAGGTAGCCAAAATCCGTAACTTTCGAACGGTACCCTACTTGTGTCCGTACGAGCTCTGGTTTCTGATACAAAAATCCGCGTGCCGAATTTTGCCAAATTGGCGGATAACTGGTTGCTTACCTTACACCAATAGGTTCATGAGCCCTCGAAGCTGGTTTTTTTTACCAATGGTTGCAGCCTTATGTTCTAATCACGGCACACTGATATCTTTGTCCAGCCAGACTTGTTCTAAACCGAGCCAGCCAAAAGCATAGATGGCTTCCTGTTAACACACGTTAATGTCGTCTAAACATTATGAGTAGTAAGCACGCGGTAGGAGCTTTCCCGTGTACTGGTGACCTCGCGTTCACTGCAGATTACTTGAAGTATATTTTTACCACATATGAATGGAGAAGATATAAAAATTGCTCATTGATTTTGTGCTATTCGTTCCGATATGTTGCTGTATGCAAACGTATTCTTTTCTTTATCTGGGAGAAGGCATTCAAGCACACAATGATCCAGCAAATGAAAAGATTGATACGAAAAAGTTGATAGAACTGCTCTAGATATCAACGGAGCTGCTCTTGATACTTGGTCAGGAAAGTGAGAATCACGCCGTTCGACCAGCCAAAACCAAACTGCGGCGTGTACTCGCCCCCATCGCCTACACCTCCCAGCTGCTGAGCGTTGTACTTCTCAAACATGAGACCCGTTTTCTGCCAGGCCACAAGGCCAGCCTTGACCCACGTTAGCACGAGACGCTTCGCAAGAGCGCGCGATGTTGCCGTTCCTGCCGTCTGCAAACCTTCAATGATGATATCTTGCAAGGGTGGCCAAGCGTTTGGTGCGTCCCATTGCTGCCCCGTGACGGACGTCGTGGTTTGGAGGCCTCCCTCTTCCACTAGTCCAGATCTTTCCAGAGACGCCACGATTCTCTCCAGTCGAGAAGAATCAGAACCGTCGAAAGCTCCGCCCCACAGCGGAGAGTAGTTTGACAAGGATATCACAGGAGAATGCAGACGAGAGTCCAGTAAATAGTCCTTCCAGCATCCATCCGACTCACTCCACAGTACAGCGGCCATCGCTCTCACGCGAGTCTTCGCGGCGTTCCGAAATCGTGTCGATGCAACATAATTTCCCAATAGCTCGTGGAATTTTGCGAGGTTAAGCTCCACGCGGTGTAGTATAGCATTCAGATCGACTGGAATCACTCGCGAGGTTCGGATCGTAGCCATGGTTGAGTAGTCACCGAACCATCGACTGCTGAAGTCCCAACCACTTTCTGCCCCTGCGATTATCTCGTTGTACAGCGAATTCTTGTCCTCAGTGTCACTTTGGTTGGCGAATACAAGAGACGCCGTGTTAACATCCTCACGATAAGATTCAGGTCGAGGTTCATCAGCATGTGCAACGTATCGGTTGAGCACAAAGGCCTCGCCTGCTGACTGCGAAGAAAATCCGGGGACCTCAACGGCGTGACCGTGAACGCCACGATGCATCCAGAAGTCGTATTCTCGCTCCAGTATGGGCACCGCAGCTCGTAAGTACTGAAGGTCCCACGCGCTCGTGTCATTCGCATCTTCTAGCTTAGCAACTAAGCGCACCATATCTGAGAGCATTGGCGGCTGTGAACGTGTGAGATAGTAGATACGCCCGCCGTTGGGGACAAAGCCAAACTCCGCCACATATTCTAGCAAGTGATTCACCACTCCGCGGGCAGTTTGATGTAGGCCACTGACTAGGAGTCCCTGTACGATCCAGTACGAATCCCAATAGTAGCTCTCACGGAAGCGACCGCCAGGCACAACGAGCACGTTCTCTCCGTTGAATTGGCGCGCTAATACATCACTTGGAGTATCAATAGGAAGAGAATGGAGAAATGAGCTCCTAGACGCTTGATCCGCCGATTCCGACGCAGGGACACGAGCAAGCACCTTCCATAATTTATGCAGCTCCATCGCCCATCCACGCAGAGGTTCGTCCCTGATCTCTTTGATTTTCTGTGGTATTTCTCCCTCCTTGTAGTCTGGTGGGGTGACAGGCACCAGTTCTGCTCCTGGTGGATCAAAGTGTTGGTCTATGAACGCAGCAAGTTGCGTTTTCCACTCTGTTCCCGTTGTCTTGTTAGCGAATGTCACCTTGAGCTCTTGGAATTGAACCAGCACTTCGTCTACCGACGACGTAGCCTTGATGGGCATATCTACAAAGTGTTTACTGTCCGGGAAGAGCTCTTGCATTTGCACCTCATGCAGCAGCTCACCTCGACAGTAAACACGCTGGAGCTGCAGGATCTGCTGCTGTCGGGTGTTGTCGCCCGCATGGCTTGCCGTCTCGGCGGGCATGAGTTCGGGCGTGATGGGGTCTGGAACAGGTCGAATGTATCGTCGGCCCAGAGCCAGAGAGCTCGTTATAGACCAAAACAGCACCAACAAGAGGGGCAAGAACCCCCGACAGCTTCCGTTATGTGAGATCATACCAATCCTCATTGGAGTATCCACAATTAGACGACTGGCAGAGCTTCAGGGGGCGCAACCCGAAATGGCTACGTCGAACGCACCTGGTGGGAGAAGAGCTCTCGTCGAGAATTCCGGGTATTGTTCACACCTGCTGTAAGATAACCACAAATATTCCAAGGCACATGAATGAACGCTTCACATTAACACGCTCAACTAGAAAGACATAAGCGACGCTACGGAAAAGAGAAACTTGGGGGCAGGTTGCGCTGAGGCAGCTCCACACACGATGACTTAGTGGCGAAGGTGCTGCGCGGCCGAGTTGAGGGTGGTGGAGGCCGATGTGCCGGACTTCGTCACGGGGTCCGTGGAGACGGCGCTGGAAACACCCGTCTTCGTGGCTGGATCGGCAGCAGTCGACGTCTGCGCAGCCGTGTTTGGATCGACAGCGCTAGACGTCATCGTTCCCTGGGCGGTGGAAGTAGCGGTCGCGGTTGAAGTCGCCGTGCCGCTCGCCGTGGTTGACGCTCCAGTAGCCGTTGATGGGGAACTCGACGTCAAAGCAGACGGAATGCTGGCCGTCGCGGAGGTGCCAGAATTGGTGGCGGAAGCTTGCTGAGTGCCCGTCGAAGTCGAGACTCCGGTGCTGGCACCAGTGCTTGGCAGTCCACTCGAGATGACAGACGGTGTATCATCGCACGGGATATCCGCGGTGACACCCGACAAGCCAGTACTCGACAGGCCACTTGTCAGGCCGCTTGTGAGTCCGCTAGACACGATCGAAGGAGTGTCGTCGTCACATGGAGCATCTGCGGTGATACCACCGCTTAGTCCACCTGTCAAGCCACCGCCCAACAAACCGCCAGACAGAATTGACGGAGTGTCCTCATCGCATGGAGCGTCGACCGTGCCACCGAGCAAGCTTATGCTCGTGCTGTCGGAATCACAGTCATTGCCCGTGAACAATCCCGTGAGGCAGGCGTCCGAAGACGAGGAGAAGACTGCGATCGAAGCGGCGATCAAGGCGAGTTGGACGGCGTAGCGAGAGAGCATCTTGGTGCTTGAAGTTTTTGGAAAGAGTACCCTCTTTGTTGTAGTTCGCAGGAAGCAAATTGAGAAGTGAGAGACATCAGCAGCGACTCGTCGGCAGTGGCAGCTCGCTGGTCTCGTTGCAAGACTCTTGCAAGAATCTTTGCGGACAGAGCACTTTCAGTCTTCTACGAGCTTTGGCTCTCATGTTTGGTTTGTAGCAATGATGACCAACCTGACCGTATTCTCGCAAGCACGTATGGATACGTGCTTATAAATTTTAGACAGGAGAGACGAGTCTTTGACGTGAACATATTTTCCCTACTACCCAGCTCGGCGACGAGCTTCTTTGCTAAAGCTATTAACTCTCTATGTAGATGCCTTCTAATTGACACGCTCTAAGTGGACACTTTTGCATTGGCACTTTTAATTGGCACACTCGAAGTGGACACTGTTGCATCAAGCAACAGTAAAAATGTCCTGATCAAGCTTATCACAAATATTGTTTATGTGATCTCTACTAGCTTTAAAAGTTACACCTCGAGAATTCCATTAGTAGAATACAGGTTGCTTAGAAGTACAGTCCTAAGCAATTTTGGCAAGAATACAACCATTCTGGCTTTGCTGATTAATTGGTGTAAAACCAATGCCTCTCCCCACATTTCAGTTCTTAGCTGCTTGTTTCCACTGAAGCCTTCCAGCCGCCAGAAGACGCTCTAGCTTGTACGTAAGGCCTCGATGGCTTCTACGCATGCGTTCAGTTTAACTTCTACCTACCCTGTACCTATCCTTCACTAAAAAAAAAATATCGCTCCTATTCTTTCAGTTTCGAGCTCCCGGAACGGCAGCAAGCGGTGGCTCGTTTTGGTAACTATGATCGTGGCCAGCATAATGTGCTTTATGTGTCAATGAGTCTGCTGCTGCTAGAAGCTGTTGAAGTCTAGCATCGCAATCCCTAGCAGCCGATCCATTTAGCGCAGCCATGCGATCAATCTGCACTAGCTGCAACGTTTCAAGTGCATTGTCAACAAATCTTCCTCCATCTCCAAAACTGTCTTGAGCGCTGCTCGTCTCCTTCCGCGATACACAAAGATGTAATCCGCCGTCGTATTGACACATCGGATCATACATTTTGCTCATCATTTTAAGCTGCTCCAACAACTCCTCCAACGTCGGTTGTTCCACAAATTTCATCGTTTTACTTCGCAAAAACTCGCTCGCCTTCATCTCCATCCTCACACACGCCTCCTGTTCAAATCGAGCATCTCCAATCGAAATCAAATCCGTCCGAGTTTTTAATCTCGCAAACACGTCTTGTAACTTCAAATGGCTACACAGCGCCTCAAATGTAGCACATTTCCACTCAAGCTGACTACTCCCAGTACCAATTTGATGATGGTACCAATCTCTAGCCGACACCACCTGGACCCGTTCAATGCCTGCATTTTTACTCTCACATTGGCGCTGATTGTCCAGTAAGAACTGCCGCACTCTAGGCAAAAAATGCTCGGCGCTAGCCACCACCCAAGGCAACGAAGCTGCCGTGACGATGAACACCGGACCGAATCGAGCCGCCAATTGCAGAAGCTCCAGAACTTGGTGCTCTAATAGTTCCAGTCGCTGCCGATCTGATGAAGTCAATGGAGATGGCACTACTTTCTCCTCGAACGTCTCAACCTCCATGGGTGGAACTCCGTCGATGAGTCCATGCGCTACTAGCAATCCTCGAAAATGTAACCATGTTGTAGGACATAGCGTGTCATCCCAGTCCAAGATGGAAATTATTGGTTTCTTAATCATTTCGCGGTGTAGTGAATAATGCGAAGTGGTCGTGAAGAATGTGGGGCTTGGTTGTGGTCTGGACTCTGTGGTGAAGGCTCGAGATAAGTCCAAGTGTGCGTTTCGAGGCGGGATATGTGTTGACGTCCTCATGCTGCAACGGCTAAAATGGCACCTATCGACCAACAATACCTTTTAGCAGAGATGTTGCTCCAATTGGAGCAACCTTAGGACGACATTATAGAAATGCACTTCAACTTGATGGAAAGAGGACGAACCCAACCATGAATTCCTAGATAGATGATGAGAACTTGACATGACTGTGAACAAGTACTTCGAAGTATAAATACCCGCAACGGCATGTTAGCTTCATACAGTATCGACTATTTGGCAAGGGCGCAGTGAGATTTCATACCACATCTTCTCAAAAATTTGCTGTTCGCTCTCGTCATTAAGCGTGAAAATGCACCCAGAACCAGAAGAACAGCGGTGTTGCCAACGCAATGCGGACCGCAAACGATGTCGTCAAAGGATACAGGCTAGACTTGCTACTGTAGCACATCGAGATTCACCTTTCGTCCACAGGGAATCTCGGAAATAGATGGCTACACTTTCGCAGCCATTTCGCTTGGAATTCACTTCATGCTCATGCCCACATTCCGATCCGCTTTAAACGGCGCGTGACCACTGTTTCATTGCTGTGAACGAACCATCAGCAGTGATGCCACCGGCTACCGCTTTTCTTGCAGTATTGGCGTTGCTCCAAGCATCGGAAGCGGCAGTACCCACATACTTGCAAACAGCCTATTGGGAGAATTCCGACTGCTCTGGAACACCATTCTACATCAACATCATCCCTGAAGCCAACTGTGAACAAACCAGTGTCATGTACACTTGCTTGCCCTACATTTTCGACGGTAGTCAGTACTATCGCGCCACCACCTGCGTGGCCGATACACACAAGTGGATCAAAAGCTACAATATGTCACGCTTCTTGGCGATGGAGCAATTTAGCGCGGGCTGTGATGAATACCTCGAAGGAAACGTGCTTCTGGCTAACGACAGCTGCGTCAAGATCATGAACTCAACATCATATCGATCAGGGATCGCCAATGTGGGCAATGACGCCTCGATGAGTCTGAAAATATTTGCTGACAATGCCTGTACTACCGCTGAAGCGATGGAGTTTCTAATTGAAGGTGCCGCGGTGAACAACAACTTGTGCTTTGATGGTCAGTACAAGTTTTACTCGCAGAGTGCAAGCAATGTCAACGGCACCACGAATGCACGTGGAGTAGAAACTCGGATTTTGTATAGTAGCTCCGGAAGTATCGAGGACAGTAACAATTTGACTTCTGCTACTACCATCAGTACTGGCAGTAGCTACACAAGTACGAAGTCTGGTGTGGGCAAAAGTACTTCAATTGTGATCGTGGTGGTCGCTCTGGTAGTCACTGTGGCCGCATGCTGTTTATTCTTCTGGTGCAGACGACGATCTACACGGAAACGACAAGAAGTGAACAGCTCAACCGCTCCATCTGACGTTGGGGGCTTCGTGAACGCAGTGTTAGCCATGGAAATCCCGATGGAAACCCGTCCAACAAACGTTTCCAGTGTCGAGTCCAATCGAGATGGGGGTGAAGGCGAAGAAGAATCGGCTCTGTGGCGTAATGAGGTCATCTTGGGAGCTCGAGTTCCTCGTGAAAAAGTAGTTGCCAAGCGTCTCATTTCTCGAGGAGGATACGGCGAAGTGTACGTTGGCGCATACAATCGACGGCGTGTAGCTCTTAAAATGCTGCTACCAGAGACGCGTAAAAGTAAAGCTCATCGTATCAGTTTTCTTGCTGAGATGAAGCTCATGGCGACGCTGGAACATCCGCGAATTGTTCGTCTTATTGGGATCGCCTGGGACTCGCCCAATGACCTCTGTGGGTTGATCGAGTTCATACCTGGTGGAGATCTGCGAGCTCTGCTGAACAAATATGCAGAGGCTCATCGACCGATCGGGTTCACATACGAAAAGGCTAAGATCGCCTCTCATGTTGCACACGCTCTCACATACCTACATTCATTAATTCCTGCTGTGATTCATCGCGATCTCAAGTCCAAGAACATTTTACTGACTCGCGAACTTGATGCCAAACTCACGGACTTTGGTGTCTCGCGTGAACATGTCGATCGCACTATGACGGCAGGTGTCGGGACTTCACTGTGGATATCACCTGAGGTCATGATGGGCGAACGATACGACGATAAAGCCGATATTTTCTCTCTCGGCGTGGTGCTGTCGGAGCTCAACACGCACGCGATGCCGTACGCTCACGCCAAGCCACGCGACGGCTCTGGCGATCGTTTGCCAGATACAGCTATCTTGCAACTCGTGGCGGGTGGAAAACTACGCGCAGATTTTTCACAAGGCGGGCCCGAGGCGTTGATGCAGCTTGGACTTGCATGCGTTGCATTGGACCCCAAAGATCGTCCAACAGCGCCAGAGGTGCTCTATCGTCTGCAGAAGGCCATGAGAGAGATGACTACCTAGCAGGTTTTTTGTTGCATTTCGTTGTTGTTCGTTAGTTTTTTTTTTTTTGCGTTGGTAATCAACCAAGATTCATGTTTTCCATGCGGCAACTAGCAATCAGGGAACCCGAAAAATATATTTCTTGAAAATATATTTATATTTTTCCTGTAAATTATTTATTTAGGGTACATCTGAATACCCGTTACGAATCTAGCAAGTAGTCGCACACTATTTATTTTCCGTGTCCACGACAACCAACAGGTTTGCTGGTTGGTGTTGAGCCTCTCAGCAAGTTGACAGCTCGTTTCATCGCTCATTCTGCAACCCTTCCAAGCTACCTCATCAACCACGATGTCTGACGCTCTCGTCACTACCCTACGCTCGAGGTCAACCAGAAGTACTGGGACGTCACTACTGTTGATGCATGTATAGATGGATGAAAGTTGCACTAATAATCTACTGTTTTGATGTGCATCTTACAGTTATTTATTTTCCATGATGACATTTACCCCAACGCTATCTATTGACAAGTTTCTTAGAAATAGGTATAAATGATATTGTCGGGTTCCCTGCTAGCAATAGCGACAACAGTTGCTCTGTATTAATTATTGCGGACACCAGAAATCGTGAAGTGATGGCTGTGGCGAACAAGAAAGTGGGTATCCAGTTGCAATCCTCAAAATGTCTGGAAGCACTTCACTTCACCGAGAAATCTGCTAAACACAAGATAAATAACGGCATAGGCATCATGGTTACGTGCGTGTTGGTGATATTAGTGCTTCTGTTGCACCGTGTGAGCAGCTTCACGTACCAGTAAACAGGCTATTGGGAGACCACTGACTGCTCTGGAGCGCCATTCTACATGGACATTTTCCCAGAATTCAACTGCGGACAGCACAACATTACCTACAATTGCTCGCCGTACACTTTCAACAGCACGGAATACTGCCGCACCGTTATTTGCGTCGAAGACACGGACCAAAATCTGCTACAAGACGACAGATTTCGTCATGATGGAACAGTTTGAACCGTCAACCGACTGCGAGGAATACTCTGAAGGCAGAGTATTCCTGGCCAACGACAGCTGCATCAAGATGATCAACTCGACGTCGTATCAGTTAGTGTGTACAAGAACGACTCGCTAAGTTTGAGGATGTTGAGTGATCCTTAACGGCAGGGAAAACATTGTCCATTAACAGCAGCACAGTGGCGAGACAATCATGCTACAAGGACATGTACAAGTTCTTCACGGAAAAAAAGAAACACATCGAACAGCGGCTTCAGTACTGGGGAAAGTGAGAGCGCAAGCGACAGTCAGGGATCTACAACAGGATCCAGTCCGGAAAGCTCAAGTGGGTCGGACGCTGCAGTGATAGGAGGGGAGGCATCAGATGCGGGACTCGAGATGGGTATCATTATCATGATTGTCGTTGTTGGTGTTGTTTTCGTTCTAGGCTTCGGCTAGTTCATTTTCAGGTTGAGACGTCGATCTGCGGTGGGGAAGCAAGAATCCACAGGCGCGACGCTCTCGGTCGAGGCGAATGACGGTGATTTTGTCAATTTTGCCGAAGGTACATTACCAAAACTGCAGATGAAATGACTACGGGGAGATGGATCGACATTGTGGCGTGACGAGGCGATTTTAGGAGCTCGTGTCCCGCGTGAAAAGGTAGTGGTACAGCAGCTCATTAGTCGTGGAGGATATGGCGAAGTGTACTTGGGATATTCAACGGATAGCAAGTTGCAGTCAAAATGTTGACTCCTGAGGCTAGGAAGAGCGAGACACATCGGATCACTTTCTAAACGGAGGTCAAGCTTATGGCCGTGCTCGAGCACCCGAGGATCGTACAACTCGTCGGAGTGGCCTGGGATTCACCCAATGATCTCTGTGCATTAATGGAGTTTATGGATGGCGGAAATCTGCGAGCACTCCTGAATCATTACGCCAGAGAACATCGACCGATCGGCTTCATGTACGAAAAAGTCAAGATTGCGTTGCATGTCGCCCATGCACTGACGTATCTTCACTCGCTTGATCCAACCGTGGTTCACCGTGATCTTAAGTCAAAGAATATTTATTGAATCATAAATTAAACGCGAAGTTGACAGACTTTGGCGTCTCTAGGGAGCGTGCTGATCGAACAATGACAGCAGCAGTGGGGACCTCCCTCTGGATGGCACCCGAAGATATGATGGGGCAGGGCTACGACGACAAAGCCGACATCTTTTCGTTCGGCATAGTTCTCTTGCCGTCCTCCCACGCCAAATCTCGTAATGGATCTGGAGGCCGCATGCCCGATACTGCTATCCTCCAACTCGTAGCTGCCGGGAAACTTCGCGCCGACTTCTCTCAAGGTGACTCACACTCACTCACGCAACTTGGGCTTCTCTGTGTCTCTATAGACCCAAAATTACGGTCAGAAGTACTCAATCATTTACAGACGGCCTTGAAGAACATATCCAGCAGCTAAAAATAAAGTGTAGCCATCATTTGCACACGTCGCAGATCGTACCTATCGGAGTAATCCGTACACAACGTTTCATTCGACTGCAGCAAGAATGAGTACAGGCGATGTCATCTACAAGTCGCTCCTCATTCTACTATCTAACCCGAACATTGTAAACGTTATAGGCACAACTACTCCACCTGCGGCCAAGTCTCAGGCGAAGAAAACGTACAAGCGTCCGCAGTGCAAACACGAGGGCTGCACGAACCAGGTCAAGTCTAGAGGGTTGTGCAAAAGCCACGGAGGAGGCATCCGATGCAAAGTCGAAGGTTGTGACCGATCTGCAACGAAAGGAGGGCACTGCTACACTCACGGAGGTAAAGCTTGCTCGGTGGAAGGCTGTGAGAAGAGTGCGCAGAGGAAGGGGCTGTGTTATGCTCATGGTGGCAAACCGGCGGATGCCAAGCGGTGCTCTGTGTCGGGCTGTCTGATGGTCGCTCGAACCAAGATTTTGTGTAGAGCTCATGGCGGTGGGGCTCCGCTGTGTGTCGTGGAAGGTTGTGAGAAAGTGGCAGAGCCGGGAGGTCGTTGCGGTACCCATGGTGGAGGTAAGCGGTGTAAGATTGAAGGCTGCACGAAGAGACGGGTGACCAAGGGGCTGTGCTACGATCATGGCGGCGGCAGGCATTGCAGTCTTGAATGGTGTAATAAGCACGCTGATAAAAGCGGATTTTGTGCTGCGCATAAGAAGGAGAAGCAGCAAATGAAGCGGGTAAAGCGACGCGAGGCGAATTTAATTGAATGGGGGGTCGAAAGTGAAAGCAACGAGATCGTCGCCAGCTGTGCTACCTCGCTTACTGGGCACACAAATGCTGATGGAGCCTCAACAGCTTCTACAATGGGGACTGAGAAGGATAGTACGACGAGGGCAATTATCTCGGTGCAGCAGCATACCCGGACGTCTCGACATAATTTACATAGTTAAAAAAGAAAAAATAAAAATGCAAAGCATGCATTCCAAAAACAATTCCATAAATTTTAATTCAATTTAGAAATATTCAGTACGTAATCTAGTTTTTTTAGGCGTGTACGAATCCGTACGAATCATGCCACCCAAGACTGACTCGCTCTTCCGCTGGATCGAGGAACGCGAACGCGAGCACCACGATTCCTCCATCTCCTCCTGGGGCCGTGTTCTCGACGCTGGCACCGGTCACCACTCGCTCTCGTGGCTGCTACATGGCGCTAGCTCCTCTCTCATCAAGGAGGTAGTCGCTGTGACGGGGGAGAAGCCTCTTGCCAACGATCTCTCAACCGAATTTGACCCCAGCAAGACACCGCATGCGACTCCCTTGACAGTTCATGCTGGCAACTGGCAAAACGCCAATTTCCTGTCTAACGAGAAGCCGTTCGACGTTATTATCGCTGGTACAGTGAAAAATCGATTATGTGTTGGTCTTTTTTGAAATCTCTCACGTAAGTTTACATTTTCCGCGTGCAGACTACCTGGTTGGAGCTATCGAGGGCTTTGCGCCGTACTACCAAGATCAAATATGCGGTAGACTGGAGAAGCTGCTCGCTGTTGGGGGACGGATCTACTTGGTAGGACTGCAGCCGTTGAGCGAATCTCAAGCTCCAGTGGGCTCAATTGATGCAGATGTAGAGGCAGGCAAGTTGATTCAAGAGGTGGCTCGCACCCGTGACGCGTGTCTCCTACTTGCGGGTCGTCGCTGCTACCGCGAGTACCCGATTGATTGGTCGCAGCGCCAGCTCGAGAAGGTGGGGCTGGAGGTGACCAACAGTATACGTCTTACCAATGTGTATGGACGGTCGGCGATCACTCGTCAACTGGAGGTTGGCAGGCGTCATATTCCACTGCTTAAGGACTCGGTGCTTGCTAACAACATGCACCAAGCTCTCGACCGCGTGGACGAACGTCTAGAAAAGGAATTTGGTTCTGGCGCTCTTCCCAAGGAGGAGCAGCGCAGGATACGCTTCGGATTCGACTACGTTATCGCTGCTCGCAAGCCCGCTCAAGCTTAAGATGGAGAAGCAGCTCAGTCTTGTTGAAGTGAATAAATCAATTTTGTCCAATCAGAAGATCGGAATCGTAATTTGACCCATTTCAGACTTTGAATTGCACGTAGTGATGTCGGCGTACGAGAAAACGCTGATCCCGCCGCTCAACTTCTCTATGGTGGCGTCGGGCGTTTACCGCTCAGGTTTCCCTAACCGAAAGAACCACGCCTTCCTCCAGCAGCTCGGGCTCAAGTCCGTGTTGTACGTACACACTCAAGTTGTTTTTCACCATTAAAATTATCCCTCAAACGCTGCTGCAGATATCTGTGCCACCAGGGACACCAACCAGAAAACGTGGCTTTCTTCAAGGAGAATAATATCGAAGTCTTCCAGTGCCCCATCGACGGCAACAAGGTGCGCTTATTAAGGGGTTTTAGAAATATAATCCAGTTGATGGGGACCTGATCTTTGACAACAGGAGCCCTTCATCAGCATTAACCCGGACGCCATGGCTGATGCGTTGCGCCACCTCCTCGGTATACTTGCCTTTGGTAAATGTTATGTACGGCCACGTGTTTTTAATTGATGTTGTTACCTGCTTGCAGACGTAAGAAACCACCCAATCTTAGTGCACTGTACGAAAGGAACGGTGAGTGGCATGCCAATGCTTCCCTCAACTAATTAAATTGACTCATTGGTAGGACTCCATCGCTGTTTATTTGTTCAGCACCGTACAGGTTGCGTGATTGGGTGCATGCGCAAGATGGAGAACTGGTCGCTGACTTCTATCATCGACGAGTACTGCCGCTTCGCTGGTCCTCGCATGCGTCTGCTGGATCAGCAATTCATCGAGTTTTTCACGCCCACAATTCAGTACGATGAAAGACAGAAGCCAAAGTGGCTTTCCTCTAGCGTTTAAGCGCACAAAGAGATACAAAACCAACCCAATAAATACAGCCACTACATCTTGAAAGCTTGCACCGAATGGCTTTCCTGTATTTAACGTCTGACCTCTCTGCATCGGCTTCCGCATGGACAACTCGAGCCATTCGCTATAGATTCTCTCCATCCTGCAAGTGTGTTTTGTAGTTTTTCGTGTCATTTCTTTCAGTGCAACATATCACGTTCCCCTTGGCTCCCATAGCTTACGCAGAAGCCTTGGACTTGTAAGCCGAACCGTCCGAGAACTTGTCCACCCACTCCTGGTTCTTAAGCGGAGCACCAGGCCACGACTTCTGGAAGTGGTCCTCCGGTTTGAAGCTAGACGGATCCTCAATGCGCTCCACGATCTTGTGCTTGAACTTGCGAATCAGACCCTGCACGGGCCAGGCAGCGGCATCACCCAGGGCGCAAATAGTGTGGCCCTCGATCTGGCGGGAGATCTCCTCCAGCATAGGGATCTCCTCGAGGTCAGCGTCTCCCGTTTCCATGCGAGTCAACACCTTCTCCATCCAGCCCGTACCTTCACGGCAGGGCGTGCACTGACCGCAACTCTCGTGCGTGTAGAAGTGCGAGTACCGACGGATAGCGCCCACCATGTCCACGCTCTTGTCAAAAATGGTAACAGCGGCCGTACCCAGACCGGAGCCACCACGCTGCTTCAGATCGTCGTAGTCCATCATAATGTCCTGGCACAGTTCCTCGTCCAGTACGGGCACGGAAGAACCGCCAGGGATACACGCCTGCAGGTTGTCCCATCCGCCACGGACGCCACCGCAGTGACGCTCAATCAGGTCACGGAGAGGAATACTCATCTCTTCCTCCACAGTGCACGGGTTGTTGACGTGTCCAGAGATACAGAAAAGCTTCGTACCGTGATTGTTCTTGCGTCCCAGGCTAGCAAACCACGAGCCACCACGACGCAGGATGGTAGGGGACACAGCCACAGTCTCTACGTTCGTCACCGTCGTGGGGCAACCGTACAGACCCGTGTTGGCCGGGAATGGCGGTTTAAGGCGGGGCTTTCCCTGGCGGCCCTCAAGACTCTCGAGCAGACCAGTCTCCTCACCGCAAATGTAGGCACCGGCACCACGGTGCAGGTACACGTCGAAGTCGTATCCTGATCCGCAGGCGTTGCGACCGAGGAATCCACGCTGGTAGGCCTCGTGGATGGCCTCCTGGAGGATCAGAGCTTCGTTGAAGAACTCACCGCGGATGTAGATGTAGGCGGCACGAGCGCGCATAGCGAAACCGGCAATGAGGCATCCCTCCACGAGCTTGTGCGGATCCTTACGCATGATCTCGCGATCCTTGCACGTACCGGGTTCACTTTCATCGGCGTTGACGACCAGGAAGGACGGGCGACCGTCCGTCTGCTTGGGCATGAAGGACCACTTAAGACCAGACGGGAAACCGGCACCACCACGGCCACGCAGACCTGAGTCCTTGATCTCCTGCACGATCCAGTCCGGTCCCATACATAGCAGGTCCTTGGTACGGTACCAATCTCCGCGACGCAGGGCGCCGTCCACACGCCAGGTGTCCTCGCCGTACACGTTAGTGAAGATGCGGTCCTCGTCCTTGAGGCCGCCGTACACGCGGGCCATAGCGGGCTCCTCCGCCTGTCATTGATAAATATGTGGGTTAGTCAACGGGTTTGTATTGTAAAATATAAAATAAAATGTGGGTGCAACACGTACGGCATTGGCCACAGCGGCGCTGGTGCGGAATCCACGTGCAGCTACAATGTCAAAAGCAAGAAAGGATAAGTTAGTGTGGGTAGGTAGATGCTAAGTATGGTGCTAGGCGCGGCGACCTTGGGAAAGCGTCTTCTGGGCCACGCGAGCGACGCTCTTCATGGTGACTCGATGCTCCAAACTCACGCTGGCCGCACACACGACGTTTGTCCGGATTGGACCCCCAGAACGCCTGGCTTCCCCCTGCGCTCTGGGCCGTACAAATGCGATCCGATTTGACGGGTACAAGAAATGTGTGGACTACATACCTAAAGAAAATCGAAATTGTGCTGTACACGACAGAAACTTCAACATGTCGACGAAAATGATGCGCGGGTGAGGCGGCCGCAATTTCGCCACGCGCTGTATAATTAGAAGCGCATGATGATGAAAGATGAATCCATCCATTGAGCCCACTTTGGGCACCGCATTTGCTATGCCCGTCGATGCAGCCAGCGTTCTACATCAACGAAACCCCCGCGAGAGAATCGCCTCAGCATTTTTTTTGGCATTGATGTTTGCTGCTCTATATAGGTCCCTATACTTAGAGGTTTTAAATCTGGTCGTTGCCGTGAGCACCTTCCCACCTGCGGCTGATGTGGAACTAGTCCAGAGATCCATGCACGCTCCGGTCTTGGCAACGACCGCTCCTTCATTCTCGAATCTGCTCGCTCGTAGAAACTCCAGGTCTTTGTATCGCAATGAAGTCTGCTGCGATCGTGTCAGCGGTGCTGCTAATCGCCGGTGTTACCGCGGATACCACGTCGACCACATACCCAGGACGCTGTGAGACGACTAAAGACTGCTCAACCTACGGCTCCAACTACGCCTGTGTATCAGTCGATACGAGCGTTGCCGGATTAGAGCAGCTGAGCATGTGCATCCCAGGCTCACAAGTGTGCAGCGGCCGCATTGCCGGGCTCTGTCCGACTTTCACTTCCTGGCCGTCCAAGTATCGCGTCATTCAGCCGATCTGCGCCTTTGTAGAGGTCGATAACTGCGACCAGCAGTTCAACGTGACGGTGACGAGTAGCGCTGGCAGCAATGGCACTGTAGACGATAACAACGACGTCACCATCAGCAGCAGCAGCGGCAATGGCACGGGCACGGTGCAGTGCTACCAGCGCAACTTCACTGTCAACGACGAATACGTCGTAGTGAACGGTATTTATCAATGCCTTGATAAGGCCAAGTACGTCGCCAACAATGGTGGCTACATCAAGAACATCACTGACACAGTAGTGGAGCAGTGTGGGTGGAACACGACAAGCCAGACGCTTTGCAGCGGCCACGGCACTTGCTCACCGCTCGTGGACTTCGCTCAGGACTATGAGTGCAAGTGCAACGCTGGCTACAACTCGTCCGACTACTGCAACGCTATCACGTCCAACGAATGCAGCAGCGTCTCGCAGTGCGGAACGGAGGGAACGTGCGACTTCGATGAAGGCACCTCTAATGGTGAGTGCATGTGTTCGGCAGGAGCCAAGGGCAATCAGTGCACGCAGTGTGATGCTTCGGCAAGTTCTGATGTTGTATGCAGCGGACACGGCACATGCGGCTCAGACGGAGTATGCACGTGTTCTTCGGACTACAACGGCACCTTCTGCAGCGACTCGACTGGAACCACAGGCTCCTCCACTTCTCCGTCAGCAGCGACGTCTGTGAAGGTGGCAATTAGCACCATCATTGCAACTCTGCTAATGGCAGCTTTTGCCTAGAAATTCTTACATGGACGACAATGCATTGAAATGAATTGCTTTACCTGATCACTACACTTTGGTTGCTACCCAAAACGGGTACAGCACCTGGTGGTTGGTGCTTCGTTCCTACTTTATTTTGCCTACTATTTCGCCATCTTTCATCAACCGCTGGTCGCTTCGAAGCAATAATTGGCAGCAGCTTGCACGTCACCTTTGTTCTTCTGCAATGCCTCGACTGCCAGCTCGCGAGAGAAGCCCATGTCGAGTAATTGCTGCACTCGTTTAGACTTGCGGAATCGAATTACCAGCGGGCGAGTCTGAGCCTTAATCATCTTCAGTGCTCGATCCACCTGGTAGTGTTGAAGTGGATGTCCGTTGGCCTGCAGAATGGTGTCGAAGAGACCGATTTGGCCGCACTTTTCGGCGCCAAACATGCCGCCCTTGGCTCCGCGAGGGAAGCTGGTCACACACAACTCGTTGTCTATCTTCTCTAGGTACATCCCAAGAAGTAGAGCCTCGCCGAAGCGCACGTCGTACTCGTCCTCGCCCAAAGGAGAATTCATGGAGATGGAGCGAGGACACATGGCGATAGCAGCAGATACAGGTGTGATGTTTTGTGTAATTGAGTCACGAAGACTCAGCTCCTCCAGTTCGATGTCAGGGTTGGTCTCCAGCTCTGTTACTGTGTGTGTTCCTCGTCCGCTCGAGAGTGTTGCTTGCTCTTCATCAACACTGTGAAGCTCTGCGTCATCCTGTCGTCTCAGCGATGGCCGCTCAATATCAGGAGATTCCTCCTGGATGGGCGGAGGCATCAACTCACCTTGCTGCGAGCCGACAGACAAGCTTTTCGGTCGATCCACATTAAGTGAGCCATCATTAACAAAGATGCCCACAGATGAGTCCTTGCGTTGATCTGGTAGTTCGTAGAACAGCAGAACGGGCTGAAATCGGCCCTTCAGACACTCCGAGACCACGTTGCTCCAGGATCCCATCTCAAGCACCCGCGAGTCGTCGAACAGTAACCACATTTTGTGCGCTGTACTGTAAAATAGAGCCACGTAGTGACGTCCATAGTAGCAGACGAAGCCTCGCAAGCGGTATGTCGTACGTAGACCACCGTTCTTGAATCGGATGACCGGTCCAGCGGCGTCGAAGCACTTGGCCAGATCCAAGCGGTCGTCGATATTCTCCAGCACTCCCTGCACCTGTTCCTTAGTCGCGTTCTGCGTGGCCCAGAGAATCGACACTGCGAATACCATGGGGAAGCGGTGGATCACTCGCTCCTTTCCAAGCTTTCCTCCACAGCCTTTTTGCTCACATTTAGACGCCACATCGGCTTCCTGAGCTGTGAGTCGACGGAACATCTGCTCGGTAGATTCATACTTGCACGCATACAAGTCGCTCGCGTAGGTTGAGTACACGAGGTTAGAGTACAGATCCCACGGTGAGCTGTGGTTGCAAGTACCGCACACATATCTGTCATAAATCTGGTGTGAGAACACCAAATGTGGAATGCTGTTGTCATCGAAGACAGCTTGTGGTTTCTCCTCATACGTGTCAGCGCTGACAAGTCTGACCAGCGACTTTACCATTATCGTTGTCTTGTGTGTTTCTTCGATCTGTGTTGCTTCTGTCTGCTGATGCATCAGATTCAACAGAGCCAGTAGAGTCTCTTCGGCGTCGTACATCGCTCCTTCCTGGAAGTTCTTGTCAGCTGCGTATAGCACACTCAATCCCTTACGAATAGCGCGAGAGTGCAGCACTCCACTGGACGTGTCGTCATACTCCGTCATCATCGATTTCAGTGCTCGAAGCACATTGGATTCCACGGTACGAGATTCATCCTTCACCTCTACATGCAGCAAGAAATGCCGCATAGATGTCAAATGCCAGAAGCTCTGGATGACCACGTTCAAGAAGCAATTATTCTCTCCTGAAGCATTCAATAAACCACGATGCACCGACGCGCCTTTCACCCACAGATTGGCTTCCTTCTTGTCATTACTGAACAACGTGGTCGCGTCCGAGGGCGAGTCGGAGCTCTGGTCGCTTCCTCCAAGCGAAGCCAGCGACGTCGTGTTAGGCGGCCATTCTTCCTCGTCATGACTCGTCAGAACTCGCAAATGATGGATCCAGTCACTAGCCGCTGTAGCGGTAGGGCCGTCAATCTCTAGCACCTTGTCTGCATGGTCGTCCACCTGCTTGACACTCACGAGGAAGGCGAAGCGGCGGCCATCCCAGGGCGCCACACCCAGTACCTTGTAGCTGCGTAGTGGCTTGACCAGCCCGGACTGCAGATCGCCAGTGCTGGGCTGGAACTTGAAAGTGCTGAGCAGCAGCGTGTCCCGCGTTAGAATACAGTAGCGCATGTGTCTCGGTCGCACGTTGACCATACTGCGCGTCTTGAGGTTGAGCCAACCGCGGTGCACCACCTCCCCGAAGGCGGATTTGAGGGGTCCATTGTCGCTGGACAGCGGCGTGGGCTCCAACGCCGTGGGCTGCATGACCGACAGCTTCATGATCGACACCAAGCGTCACATGCAACACAAGACAAAAGGGACACAACGTCAGGGACGCGGAAAATAAGGAATAAGGTGGCAGTGCCGGATACGTTACCGTGAAGGGAGAGGGCGAGGGGTGAGGTGGGGGCTCGGGTACAGACCTTGACGAGCGCTGCCCTGGAGCCGTCGCGTCGTTAAAAAGCGTGGGAAGGAATGTGCAGCCCCGTAAGCTCCGACTTCTTTCAGGGCTCAGACCGTCACCGAAGTGATCCCTGATTGGTAGAAATGTAGTTCAAGTGTATCTTGAGTGGGCGATGACGTTGCGGCAACCACAAATGTGTCGCTTGAAAGTGCGTAATCGAGAATGAGGGGGACAAAGTTAACCTACGATAACTTATCGTCGTTAAGGAGGTTCTGAAGGACTGGTGCCAGTGTCGGTGCCGCGGTGTCGCACTGCGGAGCTGCACAACTGGACGAAGTGTGGCGGAGTGGAGTACCGTGCCAACAGTCCACCCCGCGCTCCTTTGCAGCCGTTGGTCGCACTCGCTTACTCACTCGTCCGAGTCGCCATCCGAATCGTGGTCATCCTCCTCCTCGTCTTGAGAAGAAGGGGTCATAGCGGCGCTGCGGTTGCGAGAACTACGACGGAGACCAGGATGGCCACTCGCGTGTGGCTGAGAGAAAACAAGTTAAATGTTTAGGAATCTGGTACTACAGTAGGCGGTTGAGGTGGTTGTAACGTACCGAGTACCGTATCCGCTTGCTTCTCCGTGTGGAATTGCTCTCAGCCTTCCGCTTCTTGGTCAGCACCACACTGTTGCGCGTCGACCGTCGAGGCTGATCTTCTCCTTCTTCGTCATCGTCTCCGTCTGTTTCGCTCTCAGCATCATTGTCACTCTTGGCTTCGAACGCTTCTTCTTCATCCCCACTCTTATCTGAGTCAGCAACAATGTCTTCCTCCTCCTCTTCAGCATCTATATTCGCGTAGTTAACCTGTTGCCGGTTGCGTAACGAGCGTCGACCGATACCTTCCAAGTTACCGGACGAATCCAGTACTCCAGTAACAGCAAGCTCACTTTTCCAGCGCTCGTTTCGTCTCCGCCTCTCCTGCTGTCGAGTGAGCTTCTTGAGAGCACCCCGAGACAGCGTTTGCCACAACTGCAAGTCCGACGAATCAACCGACAGCGATAACTGCTCTACCAGCGACTCCACTGAATCGAGATCGTTGCATACAGTCTCCCAGTCGGTCCCACCAATCTGCGCACACCTACAGACCCACACCACCGCATTTGGCACCGTCGCAGCATCTTCCAGAATGAAGTAGGAGCGACCTACGGCGTCTGTCCCGATCGGTGCGTTCCTCTGTTAACAGTAAACGTACTGATACGTTAGCACACTGCTGAAAACTCTTAATGAATAGAGTATCTAACGTACCATCGACTCTGCTTCCTCGTCATCAATCTGCTCGATGAGTGTGTCGTTGCGGTCAAACTGCACTTCACATAAGAACTTGAGAATGGCCACCCTCTCCGCTACTGGCAGGTCAAAGTAAAATCCCTCGCGCTTCTCCGCCTCAGCGCTGGTAGCTGGGAACTTTGTGTCTTGTGCAACTGCTGGTGGGTACTGTTCTTCTCGCAAGAAGCGAAAGAGGTGGACATACCACTGATATTTTTTGCTGAGTTAAGAGCGAATCCGGGGAATAACGCTGGTGAGTAGGTTATCGCGGCCAAGAATGGTCAAGTACGGAACGTACTTCATGACGACGTTAATGTTGGCCAGCAGTCGTGTGTGGAGCTCCTCGCACAATCCGTCCTCCTTCGGCTCCAGCAAGGCGCTGGCTAAACTCTGCAAACAGTAATAGCAAGTTGAGTTAGCACTGATTAAAACATCATCAGCATAGGCAACAACATCCCCACCTCCAGTGTAGTGACGACGTTCGACAACTTGAGGCCAAGTCGACGGAAGCGTTGCAAGAATAAGAACACGGCGGCGAAATCACAGTCCGTTTGCAGCTTGTGCAACTTTTGCTTCTCATCCAGTGGCTTGCATGTCGGGAACGTGACTCCTTCAGGCGATTCCACCCCAATCAAACTGCTGATATCTTCCCATGCTGTCTCGTCATATATGAACTGGCAGCGGCGGCAGTTCCAATCTCCATCGGGTAGTTCACCCCTCACACCGTAGCACTTCTTGTGGACTGTCATTGAGCAAGTGGCGCAGCGAAGCTCGCAACGCGTTGCCTCTTCCGTTTTGGCACATTCGCACACGCGACACTCGTCGTTGATGTGGATGTAGCGCTGCACGAAGTTGCGGGACGCACCCACGGGCTTCGATTTCTTCTGAACGACTGGTTTCTCGTCGTCCTTGATTACTACTACATCATCAATTCCCTTGGGATTGTCGCTAGGTTTCTTATCTTTCGCCGCGCTGGTAGCTGGTTTAAACCACCGGTCTAACGTGTTGGTCGGCGGCTTAGGCTTTGCCTTTGGCTTGGGTTTTGACTTGGTCTTGACGTCACCTTTATCTGATGACTTGGTAGACTTACTCTTGGGCACTTCAGCAGCCACAGGCTTCGTGCCGCTAAGCGCTCCTGCCTCTACTTCCACCTGCGTCATCTACGTGACGTTGGCGGCAAAAAATATCACAGCGCGGCAAAAAATGTTGACATGATGTGGTGTACGTAATTGATGTAGAGTACGCAATTGACTGTGTGGCGTACACGAAGCTCACGAGGCTCTTCGGAGCCCAGTCAAGAAAGTAGAGAGGAGGGAGCGGAGACTGCTGCCAGTAGTGCGACGTGGAGGCGCTAGACGTTAGTAGACAAGAAGCCTCGAAAGAATCAAGCCCCAGTCCGTGGATTTCTCGTCCATTTTGACCCTAGAAACCCGCAGGAACCCCGCCAAACGCCATGGAAGACGCCAAACACTTGCATCGCCGCCTTCTCAAGTTTACGCGTGGCGACGTGGCAGACCAGGGCGAGGCGCTCGAGGTGTTGCGGGGGCTGGAGAGGACCACGGTCACGTACGCCATCCTCAAGGAGACCAAGATGGGTCACACGGTCGGCAAGCTGCGTAAGCATGAGAACGAGAAGATCGCAAGCCTTGCGCGGCTACTGGTCAAGTCTTGGAAGAGCATGGCGCTGTCTCCTCGCCCCTCTACATCGGAGCCGGAGCGCAAGGCATCGAGCAACAGCAACATCAACATCAGCAAGACGGAGACGTCATCCAAGGCCACCGCGGGCTCGAACGGCCTCAAGACGGCGCCTAAACCCGCAGCGGCACGGACGAGCTCCACACCATTCATTCCGGCTGGTTTGGACAAAGTACGCGCTACTGTGCGCACCAAACTCAAAGAGATCCTGGAAGCCTCCGAGGGTGGAAGCCCGGGCGAGATTGCCGCTGCTATCGAAGTGGCAATGGCCAGAACCTACCACATGGGAGCTCCTGGGGAGCAGAAGAAGGACTACATGGCCAAGTACCGTCAGTTGTCGTTCAATGTGAAGAAGAATGGAGATCTTCGTCAGAACTTGCTGGACGACAGTGTCAGTGGAGATCAATTGATCAAGATGTCGGCTGAGGAGTTGGCGACAGAAGAGAAGCGAGCGCAGATTGAGAAGCTGCGTGACGACGCGTTCCAGGAGGCGCGCTTGGACTGGGCAGAGGCCAACCACGAAAAGATCCAGAAACAGACCGGTACGGAGGGTACCAAGGGTTTGTTCACGTGCGGACGCTGCAAGTCGTCCAAGACCAGTAACACACAGAAGCAGACGCGCAGTGCCGATGAGCCCATGACTGTGTTCGTCATGTGTCATAACTGCGGCAACCGATGGAAATGCTAGTGTAGCCAATGTCGGTCGTGCCGTGCTCCCTCGCTCCTACTTTGCCTTCGATATGTTGCTTCTTTTTGCATGTTTTGAGCCGTGTTGCTCTGCCCTTTAAAACTTCTCTGCATCACAAACCGTATGAGAATGTCACGGCAACGGGAGGGGAGGATGCAGATACAATGGTATGCACTCACACATGTTATAGTACTGCACTACCGCTGCATGTGTGTCGTGCTGGAAAATACCGGTATGTCTAGCATTCTCACTTGGTTAGCGCAAGGTCTACCCGCCTCAGCGTCGCCTACGAAATCCATTGCTGGTTCGAGTTACGTGTAGTAGATTCCAATACTAGTAGTATGATCTCTACTCCTTTGAATTTCGCCTTTTTTTTCTTTATTGATTTCGTGTGTGTTGAGTTGAGTAGGTGATCTATTCAGTAGGTGATCTATTCTGTATGAGCTCTTGTATGAGCTCTTGGGCTCACTGTTGGGCAAGTTGAAGTTACTATCGAGCGTCGTAAATGGTGAATCCAATCGGACTGTGGCTACGACGTAGCCTACGTCGACGACCTAGTTCCGGGGTAATGGTGTGTGACCATCGGAATTCTCGGAGCTTTCGACAGCAAAGCATCATCGGTGTCTAGTGCGTGCGCCACGACGACTATCCGGTAATTGAAGCTAATTGCTTCAACCCTTGCTTTTCGACATGGATACAGTATCGATATTAGCCTCGAATTAAATTTTGCAGGAATGAATCAGTTTGATTTGTTCACTAAATTGCAGGTAAACTGATCAGCTCTCAGAGACGAGTTTACGGCTACAACTGGGACGAGACGCGAACGAGCATTGGTCCCGAGGCTCTGAGTGAGTCAGGTCTTCCGCTGCATCCGTCGCCATTCCGCGATTCACGTCCACGCAAGCACCTCGTCCATTCGTGCCGGTCGATGTCCCCGTCGTCCTCGTCCTTCGCTCCGAGCTACAGCTGCATGATCGAAGGCTCTGGGCGCGATGAGGTCGAAGCGTTGAAGCGCACCGCGTTGCTCGACGATAAGCTCAATCATGACGCCGCAAGTAACGAAGAGAAGACTTTGTTGCTACCAAAGGATCAGCACGAAGATGATCGGAGTACTCAGAAGCGTAGAGATGCTGCCGGAGTGCTGGGCCGCGAGGTTATTCTCCGCTATGTACGCTGGGCGATGGAGATTCTCGTCGTGATGATCATCGTGGCCGGTAGTTTGAGACTTTTATCGACCAAGACATGCGACCATGAAGTCAGGAGGACGCCGTCGTTCTCGTTGCACCGTTCTGGCGGGAAGTTGATGCACGGAGGCCATCGACTGCGCTCCTTCCTCCGCCACATGAAAAGCCATCCACCAGTACTAGGTGAGCTTCCGTCTGATGCCGATATCACGCTTGGCGTTGATGTGGAACTCGAGCGAGCGATGGATATCTACTGTCATGGTCCTCTTCTTCATGCTGTTCAGATGGCCAACGTCTTCTCCGACAGCAAATACTTCGTCGATATGCCCATCAAAGAGAACAGCAGCGCCTTTGATATCCTCGTGGATTTCCAACGTCGCGAGTTGGCCATGACCGACTATCGCCCGCATGCTCATGACACGCACGAGCAACTTCTGCGCCGCTTTATTAACGACCATTTCGACCCTCCAGGCACAGATTTATTGCCGATTACACCGTTCGACTACCAGGGACAATATCACCCACCGATGGTTTCTGACATTCAAGACAACGAGCTCCGAGACTGGGCTTTTGGCCTGCATCAAATCTGGCAGACCCTTGGACGCATTCGCAACCCAAATGTGAAAGGTTCGCTGCTTCGATCCCGAAAATTAGACGCACCAAGCTTGAATCAACCTGCCAACGTGCTGATTGTACCTGGTGGACGCTTCCGGGAGAGTTACTATTGGGATTCATACTGGATCGTTCAAGGACTTTTGGTCAGTGATATGCCAATCACAGCTCGGGGTATTGTGAACCACTTGCTGGAGTACGTCTCTGACTACGGATTCGTGCCTAATGGCGGGAGGATCTACTACTTGACGCGGTCTCAGCCTCCCATGCTCTCAGATATGGTGAAGCTGGTTGCTCGTCTACCTGCCGATGGCAACGAGAGCGAGTACGATGAAGAATATCTACGTGCTGCATTGCCGATTCTGGAGCGTGAGTACGACTTCTGGATGCAACATGGACCTTGTGGTCATGCAGTGGAGCTGACTCGACGGAATTCAAGTGCAGGAGCTATTGATAAGGCCACGTACGTGTTGAATCGCTACACATCCAATGCCAATCGCCCACGACCGGAGTCGTATCGGGAAGATGTTCTGGTTGCTGCAGAGATTTTTGATCGCACTATGCAGATGGACGGGAATGCTGCAGCCACGGAGCGACACAAGGACAAATACTACAATAATGTGATTGCTGCTGCCGAGAGCGGCTGGGACTTCAGTAGTCGATGGCTGCGAGATCCCTTGGACATGAAGTCCATGGTGACCTCTTCAGTGGTTCCTGTGGACCTGAACGCGATCATGTACCGAGTAGAACGCAACTTGATGGAGTTCAATCGACACTTGGGTAACGATGATCGAGCTCAGTATTTCGAGGGAGCTGCTGCTCGTCGACTGGAAGCCATTGACGCTATTCTTTGGAGTGAAAAGCACAAGAGCTGGAAGGATTACGACTTAGAGACAGACACTCACTCATCTATTATCTCGGTATCCGACTACACTCCGCTCTGGGCGAAGGCATTTAACTCGTCCGACATCGACCGGCTCAAGCATGTCGTGACTTCTCTCAAGAGCTCTGGGTTACTCCAGGTCGGTGGTGTGCAGACCACAACGATTTTCTCTGGACAACAATGGGACTCGCCTAATGCATGGCCTCCAGAGCAGGACATTATCGTGGAAGGCCTACTTGCAGTCAACACAACTGAGTCGTACAGCTTGGCTCGCGAGCTGTCGCAAACGTGGACGCAGACCAGCTTAACAGCTTGGAAGCAGACGGGATTGATGTTCGAGAAGTACAACTCATCCGAGATCGGCGGCTTGGGCGCTGGCGGTGAATACTTCCCGCAGTTCGGCTTCGGCTGGACGAACGGAGTGATTTTGAAGTTCCTCACGATTCATCAGAATCTTTTGCTAGCAGAGTAGGCAACATCGTTATAGTAGATCTAGATTGTAGCGTGCAAGGGATGATTAATAAAACAGTAACACAAAACTACAAAAAGAAAAGCATCATTTAAAGCAAGAACGCGGAGGTGTGCAGAATGGATGCCAATACACGAATATTCGCGTAAGACTTCTCCGCTTTCTATTGCGTTGAGGCTGTGGCTGGCCCTGACGCGCACTGCTTGCTTGCAGTTAAACTAATGCTCGGGATGTAGGCATGACCTCTCGAAGTTTAGTTGATCGTGGCCGGCGTCGCAGCAGCAAAGACGTAGGGCTTCGCGTTACGGAAGGTCGACATGTCCCGGATGGAGTTCGCGTGGAACTTGTACTCCACCAGCGTGTTCGAGTCGAGCATCAGGATCTCCTTCAGCTTCTCACTACGGTCGCGACAGTAACAAAATAGTTAGTCATCCGAAAGCCAATAAGTCAATGCAAAAGCCAATAGGATGGTGCAGGTAGTACGCACCCGATGGCGAAGCGAGTGTTGTCGTCCGAGTTGTCAGCGTTCCAAACGGACAGCATGTCCTCCTTGGAGCGGATAGCCATGGCAATGCCCACGACGTCCAGCTGCTCGAAAGCCTCACCGATAGCGGCGAAGACCAGATCTTGCCACATCTTACCGAGCACGTTGGCTTTCTTCTTGATCTTGAGGATCCAGCAGCCACCCTGAGGGAACGCCTCCCACATCGGGGCGCAATTCGGCTGGTCACGGAACAGGTACAAGTTCACGTCACGGCTCAGCTGCGACGGACGCTTCACGTGGATGTAGTGGCTAACACCAGCAAGAAAGACAATCACCACCATCAGCATTGCCCCGCTCTTTGGCTTCTTCTTAAACTCACCGCCAGAAGTCCTCCACCGTGTTGAAAGTGGCAATTTTCTGCAAGTTCGACTGGTATGTTCTGTAGCATAACACAAAACGCTATCAGTTGCCGCAAACAGTCTAGCCAATTGCAACAACAAAGACTTACCCCACGTCAATCTTCTTGGGCATCTTCTTGTCGTACCTGCATCGCCACCACATAGCATCAGTTCGTCTGCACCAGCGTCACACCTCCGAAGAGTTGCAAGTGCACGCACCAGAGCGACCATCCCGTCTGAAGCGGGTGCTCCTCCTCTTCCCCCTTTTCGACGATGGCAGGCGCGGCCGCCACCTCCTTGTTCGTAACTAAAGTGGTCATGACACAGTCGAAAGTGCCGTCGATGCGATGAAGCAGCAGAGTCAAAGTGTCACAACGTCAGTTGGCGATTAAAATGAGGAAACGCACTCTGCACAGTTGCAGCGCAATGCAATAAGAGGTGGCAGCATGTAGAGACAGCACAGGGAGAGAGCAACGTCACGTACGTTTTTCACCAGACATCGTACTTGTCCTCAACAGCGTTTCGCCGCCAGTGATGCGATTCTTTAAATTTATACGAAATGTACCTCTAAATTTAATATGGATACAGACCCGAGAAAAAAAGTATAAAAATGCAAACAAAGCGTTTTTTGAAAACCGCTTTGTTTGGTTTATCTTAAATGATTCTTAAGAAAAAAATCTGAACTACTTTGAATTGTTTGTCAGGAAGGAAAAAAACGCTTTTTTATAGTAATAAAAAGAAAATATTGGTGTACTCTGTGAGCCTTGTCAGTTCCATGCAAATGTATCATTTAACTTAGAAATTCTAATTGAAGCAAGTTTATACTAAGTACTTCGTCCGCATTAGGTCATGTAAAATGATGAATGATGATAGTGAAATGCGTGTTTATTAAAATACAATACGCGCAAGTTTGACGTTGTTACTGTACTCGAAATGATTTTTAGAGAACTTGGGGATCCGACGGTTTTTTGCGTCTTCTGCTATTTTAATAAAATACTGTGAGCACTTTTCGGCCCTACTTATCCATTCAAGATACGGTACAAGAATAGGCTATCACTCTATCTCTACATCCCAGATAGGACGGACGGATATAAAAGCACTGTACCGACAGTACAGTACCGTACGATACGTGTGCGTGAATACAATGCGGTACAGACTATCCCTTCGGTAGTCATTGTTGGGAATCCACAATTTATTCCTATCTAAGGGTATGCCTATTCGCGTATGTACCATAAAAATGGCTCCGAGTACCTTTGGTTTGGAACAGTGCACCGAATCCAGTAGTGGAAACGAATGGCTTTTTTCGCCTTCCCTATTCGCAAGATGCTGGAAGCACCGAGCATTTAAAGTACTACAATCGCGTCTTCGATGATCCAGACGAAGATGATGCAATGTCCGCTGTGCTTGCGGCGATGTTATCTCGTCTGCACGTTATGGACCCAATGTCCGTGGACGAGCTGCTGAACCCGCCGGACGAGAACACAGCTGCAGAAGATCCCACAGATGAAGACTTGTGTGGAGTTGGTGACCAAGAATTGGCTGTAGATGTCTCTGACAACGGCTCAGAAAACCTGGACACGATATGGAGCGTAGTACGTGGATTAAGGAGGACCTTGAGCCAGAAGCAATTAAAGAGCATCTCATGTGGGTCGCTAAGCTTCTAGTTCGTGCAGGTGCGACTGGCGTATCGGATAGATCGGTGAGCGGATTGCGAGAAATGCAGCGCACGCTCCGTGAAGAACTTGGAAGAAAGCAAGGCCACAAGCACCAAAAGCCTTTGCTAGATTTCTTCGGATGTACTGTACATTTATGACTTTTTCCATAGTTAAGAACCCAGAATAGGAATAATTGTCTTCAAATGTATTCCATTTTACGATTGAGGGGTGAGAGGGAATAATATCTTGGGTTTGTAAGTGACTGGTCCACGGGAACCGCAAAATTTATTGCTATTGAGGAGTATTCCATTTCAAGGGATTACAACCGAAGGGATCGTCTGTAACGCGAACGCGTTTTGTGCTTTTTTCTAAAGAACACAAAATGCGTTATTGTATTCACGCTTTTAAGAGAAAAAATTACAAGGTAGAGCAAATCGCCAGAATGACAAAGATATTGGAATGTGGTTGGTAGCTGGATTGTTTCCAAGTGAGCTTTGGCGGTTTGAGGCTGCGCCTCTTCGTCCTCGGGTGGGATCAGAACCCGAGCCAGACTAAATAGTAACTACTTCAACTAGAATAGCACTAAGATACTCTGACCAATATATATCTTAATTAAAGAATGGCTGGCACCTTGCACTTCGGATAAACTTCGGATAAATTGAATCGCGTACGAACTTGCATTTATTGCTCTTTTATACATTTGAAGTCCATACGATTGAGTAGTGATCACAGAACTACCTCACAGACTTGAGTTGCGATCTCCTTTTTCATATCCTACTGTGTGATAAGTGAACGTACAGAACGTGAACACAGAATTCATTCCAGTCTTGCTATTGATAGCAGGAGTTCCCCTTGAGTGCAACTACATTATGCAAGGTTTTCAATTCAGCAGCTCATTGAGAACGATCACATCAGGCATTGCAAGCTCAACGCGACTTCTTGGGAGCCACGGAGCAGCCAAGCAAGTGCCATTCCTGAGGATTAGGTCTGTCCGTCTACACCACTAACCCTCGGCAGAGTCTGTGCAGCACTGGCTTAGTCAAGTACATGCACTCAACCTGAATCCAGTTACCTGAAGGCTTCATGTCCTGCAAGTGGCTTGACACCACAAGTAACCATACCGCAATCGATGCATGTTATTAATATTTGGGTCCAGGACCATGATTCCTATCATTGCCGGTACAGGTATCCAGAATCTTGCAGGTGTACATGTACGTAGATTACGCAGCGTTTACTTGCAGCTGGACATCCACTCTAGCATCCGTGAACAAGTCTTACCTTTTAATTTTTCAAAAAAAGAAATCAAAATGTATAACCTTCAGCATGTTATGTGTCCATAATGGAAAGTCTCGTATTATTTTCAAGATCTGTACCTGTCATGTCTCGTTTACCTTGACATTTCTATGTATTATTTGTTTCTCTATTTATGCCTCTACTGTACTACAATTCCATGGCTGTGACACTCAAAGAGTTAAGCTGAGCTGAGCCCTACCATTTTCGTCTGGTTGCAGGAAAGCAGCAGGATCAGTTACTACGATGGGGCGAACCCAGTTCAAACAGCAAAAAAACAGTGTTTACGTCGATGGGTCATTTCTCTCCATTCCTTGTTTTTCCGCGCCGTCCTCAGGATCACAGGGATCGCGATGGAATCCCAGCATTTGCTCAGAGCTGGTACACCCACACTGCGCCGCCTTCCGTCCCCTCCCGATGTCGATGACGACTTTGATCATGATCTAAGTGATGCACCTGAGAAGACCACAACGCAACGAAGGAGGCAGCCCAGAGAAATGCTCCAGATCACCGACATCTTCGCTTTCCCGTGGTTTGGCTGGTTTTTCGTCTACGCCTTCACGCTCTTCTGTTTCTCCGTTAGTCGATGCCTCGTTCTCAAGTCACTAGCGACAATGTACGGCAGTCCTCGAGACTATACCGCAAGTTTCAAGGCAGCAGCATTGGGTCTTGGCATCTTAGAGGACTTCGTCTGCACGACGTACTTAGCGTGTGCATTGTGGCTATTCGACACGTTGAAAGTCGCGGCCATTGAGCGTATAAGTCCTCGAATCCACCCGTTGATCGTGCGAGTCGTCGGAAACATCGCAACGTTCACAGTGTCCTGGATACTCTTCGTCATTGTAGTGGCACCGTTTGCCGCCGACATGGTGCTGGTGCTTAACCGCGATATGCGATTCACATTGGACCTTGTAGCCACTTTAATTAGGGAACGACACCATCTCGGCCACGCTCCGATTTCGAGCGAGGAGTTCCAACGAGCTTACACTATTGGAAGTCTCCTGGTGATTGCTGCTACGATTTTTGCGCTGATAAAGACGTGGGCTGACTGGGCCGACCTCACTCGCTGGAATCCCACCCACGTGGTGATACTATCTGCCAATTCTGGAGAGCGAGTGGCAACTGGAAAGGTTTTCAAGCGCACGAAGTACAAGGAACTCGCTCTAGAAGAAGGCCAGGGATCGCCTGTGCAAGACGCTGTGACCGAAAGTCGTGTGTACGGGAAACTACTATTTAACCAAGTGATTCAGGCCACCACAGTTCTAGTTGGTCTGGTGGTAATACCGATGATTGTTGTGGCAGTGCGTTGTGCGAGCTCACCTCTGGTCGCGTACTCGGCGTTGAATGCGACTTTGAACGAACTATTTGGACACGCGCTGCAACCGGGACCCACAGAGTCCACGTTTGCGAATGTGAATGGCGATCTGCCGTGGATGGAGATGTACATTCACCCAACTGAGAGACACAAACTGTTCGGGAATGACTCACTCTACCGCCTCACCACGGGATTCCGCGGAGATCTGGCCTTCGACATTGACGTCTCGAAGAACAGCCCGCCCAATGTTCTCGTCCTTGGGGTCGAGTCTTTCCGCTTCCGGGACTCGCGGTACTTTGTCGGAGAGAACGACCCATCCAACCTGTTCAAAGACACCGATCTCACTGTGACGCCTAACTTTGACAGGTGGGCGAAGCGTGGCGTGGCTATCCGTAATCTCTGGACTAGCAACCCTACAAGTCGATCCTTGGAGAGCGCGTTGTTTGCACAGATTCCGTACGACAGCGCCGTAAAGACCGGTATTACTGGAGGCAGAGAGGACACGAATCTGTCTGGCTTGCCCCAACTTTTCTCGTCTAAGGGATACGAGACCTTCTTCTCGACCGGGTCTTCTATTGATCTCGACAACTGGAACACGTTCCTCCCTTCACATGGTTATGAAACTGTTTGGGACAACAACAAGATCAAGGAACTGGCGGAATACCATCTGAATATTTCCCACGAGGATTGGGATGGCGATGCCCGTCGAGGGTTCCAATGGGGCGCCCATGATGACGTGAGTTTCCAGATTCTAGGAGATTTACTCGTGAACAAGACACGCAATCAAACGGATCACGTTTGGAACGGCAAACCCAAGACGCCGCTGTTTATCACGCACTACACCATCACTAGCCACGCTCCATACAACTCAGTGCCGAGATGGTACAACGAGTCGAAGAAACCAGACTTCTCTCCTCTCTACGAAGGAGAAAAACACGCCGATCTGGTCAAGCACTACCTCGAAGCGCGATACTTTACCGACATGGCGCTGGGCAAGTTCCTGGACCGCATGGACGAAGAGGGTGTTCTTGACAATACCATAGTCGTCATCTACGGCGATCACGGCCAGGCACCTGAAGGTGACATCATCTACACCGAAGAAGAGTCCTTAACGCGAGTACCGGGCCTCATTCTTGCAGAAGGACGACTTGGGAAATATGCGGGTCTAAAGATTGAAGACGCAGCAGAGCACTACGATATTCTCAATACCCTGGCGGATATCACAGGCCTACCTGAAGGAGGATTCGTCCAGAATGGTGTCGGTCGCTCTCTTAAGCGTAAGGTTACGTTTGGTGAGCGTGCAGTCTTCAGTAACGTCCCCGGTCACAAGATGTCCATTGTGCGCGGCAATTACCGTCTGCGCTACGACGGGATCACTGACGCGATGTTCTTGCACAATACGGAGAAGGACCATTGGATGAACGAAGATCTACTGCCAGAGCTCCCACCTGAAAAGCTGGCAGAATGGGAGACCTGGCGTGAGAATGGACGCCGAATCTCTGCGTACTATACAAAGCGGTGGGACGAGAACTGTTTGCTTGCTGTTAACTGCACTGCACAAACTTATGAAGAAAACCCCGTAGTAGACTGATGACAGGAAAATATCATATTCGATCTCTTTCTTTCTCACTTTCTCCTATAGTACTACTACTACTAGTAGTAGATGCTTTCAACTGCCTTCAATACTCCTTCCTATTGTAGTTGATTCGAGCTTGTCGTCCTTGCGCAGCATCGCTCCTTAGTAGCCGCTGCTAACTGAAGCCGTCTAGCGAAGCAAAGTTGCGATTGGTTGACAGTGTTGAAGTGTGAATGTTGAAGTGTAATTGTACCTGACTGCGATGACAACGTGTCGAGATCAACAACGACGATAGAAGCTGTGAGTTGGGGGCAAGGTAAATAAAAAAAACACGTTTGAGGACGACACCGCTACCAGACCTTCAAATGCAGCGATTATCGTACAGTAAATCGACTGCACAACTGTACTGCCCTCTCTTTGATATTCATCGAGAAGCACTACTGCGATAAAAAAGAAGACATCGGTCTAAAGTAATATAACGAAATTACAAGGTAATAAGTCTGTGGATAATTAAGCAAAAAACAGTTTTCGCCGCATTCCCCGCGTCAATCGTCCAAGAAATCTATAACTGAACCTCTCTTAATATCCATCGATCGCGGATAGTGTACGTATGTCTATCCAATGTGCTTTGGGTTGTCTTCTAGAATCGTTTTTTAGAAAAGTGACGTAGCGAACGTTGCTATCGTACAAAACATGCTTACTATCGACGAGAAGACTGCTGCAGGACGCAAGCAACCGCTGGAAGTGTAAGGGAATCTCACGCAGCAACTTGTATTTATGCCTTCTTAGGCTTCCGACAAATTTCACTATTGTGTTGTTTTTGACTTTCTAGAAGTAGAACTTTTTTAGTTTTCTAGTTACGAAGTAGTATTTTACGAACTGATACACTTATTTTTTTATTTTGAAAGTTAGAATACACCCTAATGATTTACTACTATTTCATAGTGTTCAGATTGATTTACTACAATTTCAATGTATCTAGATTGATATAATATATTTCAAAGTAGGAAACAAAAATATTAACATATGAAACACAAATAATAACTAAAATATGAACTCAAAAGAAAGTGATATGATATAAAAGTAGTAGTGCTATTGCTTGTCTTGAATTTTCTACTTCGACGAACTAAATGCTTTCTTGACAGAATTTACTGGTCGTAATATAAAATCCTAGTTACGACCAATAAATTCTGTCAAAGTACCTCAAAGTAGTAGTTTTTAACTCAAAGTAGTAAAACGAGATGAACGTTACCGTATCTGTCTCCCTGTTATTGTACATTTTGGAAGCTTTCACGGGTAAATATCTGCTCAAGTTGCTGTGTCACTTCAATGTGGCCTGCTTGAAACGCGACTTGAGCAGCATCTCGAATACACGCTTCGCCTTTGGGTTCTTTCCAGACAATCTCACTTAACCACTGCACCACGTTGAGATGCCCATATTTTGCAGCAACCCGTATTGTATTCGCCGGCATCCGTTCGTTCCTGTTCGCGTAGAGCCATTGTATCATCTCCAAGTGCCCATTCGCAGCAGCACTGATCATGGCATGGTTCGTACATCCTTCCTTTCGATTCTGGTGAAGAAATTGCACAACATCGAGATGGCCTTTACCTGCAGCATAATCCATCGCCTCCGTGCTGCAGGGTTCGCTTCGATTCTCGTGAATCCACTGGACCATATCCAAACGACCGCTTGCTGCAGCGTAATTCATCGCTCGATACGTGCATCCTTCACTTCGGTTCGCGTGTAACCACTGCATTACAGGAAGTTGGCCGTGCTCGGCTGCTGTATCCATTAAAAAGCGTCCACATCGACTTAAACCTTCGTGGCCGTCGCCCCATGAAGTGCGTTCCGGGTAACATTCGTTTAGCCACTGCAGCACATGAATGAAGCCTCGAATAACAGCAGCCGCCGCCATATACTGACCATTATCCCAATCCGGATCACGCGCTGCAGCGTACTCAAGTGCTCGCCTTGGAAGGCCCAATCTGCACGCTCGCCCAACCTTTTTGCGCGACGAAAACGGATTCAGATATTCGTCGACGAGGGTCACGACGTGAGCGAGCGATTCCACGTTGTGCTTGTGTAGACATTCACGGCAAACGACCAATGCCGTGGTTAGCTGGGGATACTGCTGGGTCTTGGGCGATGCCACCAACATCGCGGGCGGATCTCCACGGGTGATCTCAAAGTGCTGAACTGAAGTATCAAATCACCAAATACATCGGTGTAGACATCCGTTTTGCAACGGATGAAACTGGCATCACCTTCCTCCAGCATGAGATTTGCTGAACCTAGCCAGTGTTGGCTAGGTTCAGCACTGGAAGCTACTCGTGCATGAGCGCGAACTTCGTGACGAAGTCTTGCAATACAAACTTGTGGGGTTGGTGTCACTGATCAATTGACTTATCAGGCGTAGCTCGGCGTCTAGTCGTAGTTGGCAACTTTACTCACACGTCAAGTTGGTCTGGTGGTACAGAGGTCCTCTCATTGCGTTTTACTTCGAAGCGCTAGAAACTGTAATCTTGGAAGCACGGCAGAATCAAACTTTTGTTGCCTCTTCTTGCTTGGAGCTTAAGTTCTTACTGGTTTCTAAATCGACCCTTGCTCGATGAGCATGGTCAAGTGCTATCTAGTGAATGCACTGACTTCGCATCCAAGGTCATTCAAGTTCTCGTTGTCCTCGGAGGATAATTATCATGAATAAAAGTAATTATTGCTTTCTCGACTGGTTGCCAGCTAAACAACATAGTGCATGATGCTTATCTTACGGCGTGTTATAGGCTCTAAGACAGAATGTTGAAGCATTAGCTTCGAAGACCATTAAAACAAATTTTAACAGCAATTTTTTTGCTTGGTACTGGTTATCCCTTTACAAGGTACATTATGAATCCACCAGCCAACGCTACAGCTGCAATAATGGCAAGAGGCTTCATTTGCCCTTTCACAATGAGATACGCACCCTTGAGCCTTATATCCTTGTCCATCATCACCTTCGCCTTCGTGACGGCGGGATTCGCCTTTACCATGGCCTTGAGTTTGTTAACAAATGGAATTTTCTGCGTTATCCCTCGTTCCTCATCTGCCAGCGTCGTTGACGCCTTCTTGTTGCCCTTCAAATAATGCTTCACGTTGACGCTATTCACCGTGAACGCGCCGGTGGGATCCGCCGCTGAGGCCTTGACTATGATAACACCATCAGCGTCGACAATGCTGCAGCAGAATGCCACTAACGTGAATATCACCACAAGCAGGAGGCAGCGGAGACGCATTGGCTTCGGTCTCGCTGTGATAATACTTTAGTAATGGGTGGGGGAATCGCCCGAGAGCAACTTGGGGCTTTGCCGGTTGCTAGCCCACCAATCATCTCCAGGAGATCTCCGCTTCGGCTGGCATCGTGCATGGAACGGGGTTGGATAGTGGGTAACTCGCTGAAGCTTGGCTCGATTCGTGTTGTTACGACTGGAATAATATGATGTTGAATGGCAAACCTCTATACAATATTTAACGTTAGGGAGTTGGGATAACCTATCTAACTACCTCGCCAAGCACTTGGTTCTTGTGCTCATTCGAGGTTGTTGCTTGAAGCATTTTAGTACCGGCGTCCACGGCCGCCACCTCCACGGCCTCGGCCTCCGCGGCCACCTCCATAGCCACGGCCTGCACCACGGCCACCACCGCGGCCACCGTAGCTCTGTTGACGCATCTGGTACGCTGACTGCTGCAGCTTCGGTAGCGTCTTCGGGATCGAGTACGGACAGTTCATGCCTCCTTCCTCGATCTGCTTCTCCAAAAGTTCCAGACCGGCAATGGGGAGATCAAAGCAAGCGCCCATCGAGTCTTCAGTCAGAGTCATCTGCTTAATGTCTTTCGCGATATCTTCCGGAATGTCACGGTTCACAGCGTTCCATACGTAGCCCTTAGCACGGATGAAGTTGGAGCTCGTGAACAACACAGTCACGTAGTCGGGGACACCAGACATGAGCGAAGTGCGACGAGGAGGCTTCGTGTGGCCCGTAATGCAGGCGAGCGCAGCAGCCAGACACTTCTCAGGCTCCATCGTCTCGAGCAGCTCACTCGCCTTTTCTTGGAAGATCTCAACCATGGCCGGATCCACATTGTCAATCTCCTTCAAGGCCTTCTCTGCCGATGCCTTGATCAAGTCTTCCTGGTCTGGTGGGCCCTTCATGATGAACTTGTTGCCGATCTTGCGCTCGATCTGGTTCAGCTGGTCACGCTGGCGGTTCGTGTACAGAGTGATACAGATACCTTTCTTACCAGCACGGCCCGTACGGCCGGAACGGTGCACGTACGTGTCGACGTCAGCCATACCCGTCATCTTGCGAGGAGGTTCCGAATTGATCACAAGGTCGACATTCATGTCCAGGCCACGCGCGGCCACATCCGTAGCAATGAGCAGACGCAGACGGCCCTCACGGAAAGCCTTCATGGTCGTCTCACGCTGCTCCTGAGCAATGTCACCGTGCAGCACCTGGCAGTCAGTCTTGATCTCGGGGTGCACAGCAAGCTCGTTACAGTCCTTCTTGGTTTCAGCGAAGATAATAGTACGAGAGTCCTTTTTAGCATACACACCGAGCAGGTTGGCCAGCAACGTCGGCCGGCCCTGCCAGTGGCATGGGATGGCAATATGTTGCACATCAGTGGACGCCTGGTCGTCCGAGTCCTTGACCAGGTTGACGTACTCGGCCTTCTTCATGTACTTATCGGCAACGTCCTTTACCCACTTGGGGATCGTAGCAGAGAACAACAGCGTTTGACGCTTTCCGGTGCTCTCGTTCTTCACCTGATCCATAGCCGTAAAGACCTTCTGCACGTCCTCACGGAATCCCATTTCCAGCATGGTATCGGCTTCATCTAGGATGAGAAACTCGCAGTTGTGCAGACGAAGGTTGCCACGGTCGATGTGGTCAATGACACGGCCAGTCGTACCCACCAGAATGTCCACACCGCTACGGAATGCATTGTTCTGCGACTGGTACGAGGCACCGCCGTAGATGCAGACTGTACTGAGCGAAGGGCCCGTCAACTCGAACTCTGAGGCCACCTGTTTGGCCAACTCACGCGTGGGGGCCATGCACACAACGCGAGGAGCACGGCCACGCGAGCGCGGTCGCTTGTCCTTGAGCAGCAGCTCAATCACGGGCAACACGAAGGCCAGAGTCTTGCCCATACCCGTACGAGCGCGGCCCATAAGGTCCTTTCCGTCCAAAATCTTATCGAACGTCATGGCCTGAATGGGGAAAAGTGTGTGAATGCCACGGGCCTGAAGGTTCTTCTTGGTTTCATCGCAAATGCGGAAGTTGTCGAGCGACGGGTTCTCCTCTCCACCCACGTGGGTGGCATTCTCGCTTTTGACCTTCTTGGTAGCAGGGGCCTCCACCTCACTCTCGGCCGTGTCCTCGGCCGGGTCCGTCTCGTCGTTGTCATCGTCGGCCTCGCGACTGCGCTTCTTACTTTTCTTCTCTTTCTTTTCCTTCTTGTGCTTTTTCTCCTTCTTGACGCTCGAGTCGGATCCCTCAGCCTCGGCCTTCGCCTGCTCCTTGGCCAGCTTCTTGGCCAGCTTGGCTGCCTTCTTAACCGCCTTCTCCTCCTTGGTCAACACGGGTTTCGCTTCGTCGGACGCCATGGTTCGTAGCTGCGTGATGATCGTCAAGAGCTGCACTGAGCGCCAGTCAAATCGACCTCACTGACGTCAAACGAGCCAGCTGGCAAACGATTGGTCGGAAAAATGAAAATGATGTGGTGTACATACACTGAATCTTCCAGGATTAATTCCGATTATGTACATTTGGTGTACATCAGTTTCTTCCCCAGACCGGCCCATACATCCACAGGGCACCAAAGCGTCGCTCAGCCCCTCCCTCTTCATGGCGGAGCAGTCAGCGCCCAGCGGCTTCTCGCTGAGCGAGAGCTCGGCCACGTGGCCATCAGGCGGTATCAACGATGGTAAGCGCCCACCGCTGCCCACGTCCTTCCGGCCGGAGAAACGCGGCCGTGCAGACAACGACGGCCCTCACGACAGTTCAACGCCCATGGATGTGAGCGGGCCTGGGTCCCCAGGGGGGCGGCCCGCGGCCGCACCCACGTCGGCCAACGACCTGCCGCACTTGGCCAGCTGGAAATCATCTACTTCGTCCACGGATGGCGCTTCGGGTGACGTTAACACGGGCACATACACGCGTGTACACCTCAAGGTGAAGGCACAGAGCCGTCTGGGCGAGACTGTGCATTGTTCAGGCTCATCCTTCGTGATGGGACACTTTAACCCGAACGAGAGCATGACACTCGTCACAACACCGGAGGATTACCCATACTGGACCACTGTCAAGCCCATGATCTTGCCTCGTGGGGTACCCCATCAGTACATGTATGCACTCTTCTCCGGTGGAGTATTCAGCTCTTGGGAACAGATCGAACGTGAAAGAGTGTTGGTCCCTGAAGGACGCGAGATGCTGGTCGTGGAAGAGTACGGTAAGTACGACCAGGACATGGAGCTCGTCCCCACAGGCGAGCGCATCGAACGCTCGCTAGTCTACGAGCGTCGGAGAGACGAGAGCCCAGCGACTCCGAGACAAAGCAACGCGTCCGAAGATATGGCCGACATTCCGGCCACTGAGAGCGAGGAATCGAAGGAGACAGGGGCCAGACTGGCCGCCAGAGTCGCGGAAGATAAGGAAGAAGCGGACGCCAAGTCCCCACCCAGCAGCATTACAGGCTCCCCCAGTCAGAGATTCCGACAGACAAACAAGTTACAGAGCAGATACAAGAGATACATGCCCTCCAGTTACCATCCGTCGCCCGATGCGATGCTCTTCTTGGTTTGCTATCATTTACCAGTGAAGCTCACCAAGTCTACAGAGGACGGGTCGTGGTCTGCCAAGTGGAATCGCGATAGTTTGATCTCTAGGAGTGAGAACAGTATTGCAGAGAGTATGAGCACGACGTGGGTGGGCTGTGTCACGTACCACGCGCGTAGTGACCAGGAGGAGCTGTCAGAGGATGATAAGAGCGAGATCACAGCGATCTTGGCCGAGATGAACTGCATCCCGGTGTTTATTGATCGCCAGTTGGCTGCGAACCACCACGGCGGATACTGTAAGAGCAAATTGTGGCCCATGTTCCACAATGTGGACATTCTGGACATTTATTACTCGATTTGGGACCGCGCAGAGGTGATTGAGTGGAAGGAGGAGCGCAATAATGGCGAGTGGTGGGAAGCCTATCAGACAGTGAACAGGTTGCTGGCGGATCGTGTTGGAGAGCTGTGCAAGGAGAACGATACAGTGTGGGTGCATGACTACCACTTGCTGCTGTTCCCGTCGTATCTGGCTAACACGTGCAGGAAAGAGAACCGTAAAAGACCCAAGATGGTCTTCTTCTTGCACGTTCCCTTCCCTACGTCTGAAGTGTTTCGAGAGCTCTCGCACGGTACGCAACTACTAGAAGGTGTACTGGACGTGGATATTGTAGGCTTCCACTCGTTCGACCACGCGCGTCACTTTCTTAACGCTTGTAAACGGTTCTTGGGACTCACGTACCAGTCTCGACGCGGTGGAAATCTTGGCGTGGACTACCGTGGCCGCAATGTGGTGATTACGATCAGTCACGTGGGTATTGAAACAACGCTAATTCGAGAGGTACTGAACGACCCGAAGGTGCAGGAAGCAGCACGTAAGTTGCGTGAGAAACACAAGGGCAAAGTGCTTATTGCAGGTGCAGATGTCTGTCAGAGATTAAGTGGCATCCCATTGAAGATGCTGGCGTTCGAGCAGTTCTTTAGCAACTGTCCGTCTTGGAAAGATAAGCTCGTGTTTGTGGAGCGTGCCACGTTGACACAGACGCGACTGGGGGACCAAAACTACAGCAGCAATGAGATTCGCAAGCTCGTGGAGCGGATTACCAAGGCGCACGGCCCCGAGTGCATCGACTACGAGGAGTCGTCTTCCCCTTTGACTATAGAGGAGCGCTTGACGCTGTGGCTCGCCAGCGATATCTTGATGGTTACGTCGATCCGTGAAGGACTGAACTTGAAGCCGTTAGAGTTTGTATTCGCCAAGGGAGTGAACCCGGAGAATCCGCCCGGTGTGGTCATCCTGAGCGAGTTTTCGGCCTGCTGTTGTGTCCTGAACGGAGCTGTGCGTGTCAACCCGTGGAATATCACAGGACTCGTGAACTCGTTGGACCACGCATTGACTATGAGCAACGAGGAGCGGCTAGGTCGTCGCGCTAGGGATTTACCGTACATCACGAACCAACCCGCTGCTAACTGGACCAAGCAAGTGCTGTCTGTGCTCCACGAGGCGACGGATAACCCCGAAGGTAATGAGGAATACACGAATATGGAGTACATGGACACGGAGATTGGTCGATCGCATGTCATGCGTGTGGGTGATCGATCGGACTTCAAGCAGTTGAATATCGACAAGGTTATGGCCGCCTACATGCAGTCCAAGCGCCGTGTGTTCCTACTTGATTATGGCGGCACTATCATTGCACGCGAGAATATCGCCATGTACGTGAAGAAGGACTTCACAGCAGTGACAGGAAAGCGACCGTCTCGTCGTATGATGGAGGCATTGACAAATCTGACGAACGATCCACGCAATACTGTGTTTGTGGTGAGTGGCGTGACTAAAGCGAATCTTACTGCATCGCTCGGACACATTCGTGGCCTTGGTCTGGTGTCGGACAATGGCGCACTGTACTCGTGGGCGAAATCCATTAACATCGACAATACGGAGGACACGACCATGCAGGACGATAGCAACCCCACTGATCGCCACTGGCACCAGCACAGCTTCAAGTTCGACTGGCGTCCGGTTCGTGAGGCGGTGGACCCGATCCTAAAGGTATACTGCACACGCACAAATGGTAGTGTGCTTCGCTATGCCGCTCAGAGTATTGCGTGGAACTTCCGCTCGACGGACCCAGAGTGGGGACTCTTGCAAGCTAATTCGTTGCAAAACGACCTGGAGGAGGTAATCCGTGACCTGCCGGTTAATATTATCCGTAAGAAAGGCTTGCTGGAGATTGTGCCTGAAGGTTTGAACAAGGGAGTGGTGGCTCGCCAGATTTTGACACAAGACGCAGCAATCAGCCACGGCCATCCGGACTTTCTCTTCTGTATTGGCGACGATACGACGGATGAGAGTATGTTCAAGGCTATTTACGACTATTATGCAGAGCGAACGGAGGAGAGTGTGCATGGACGACATGGCAACGGCACGTACGAGGACTTCCTCGCTGCTGGCGACGAAGGTCCACTACATCATGTGTTTACGTGCACAGTGGGTAAGAAACCCAGCAACGCGCATCTGTACGTCAACAATGTGGATGAGGTGGAGCAACTGCTGCAAGCGCTGGGTAAAACGTCAGGCGAGGTGCGTTGATTGTTGTGGTGGATGATGGTTGTGATGGTGTGTACTAATGGTTTTGTTGTATGGTTTCTAGGAAGTTCCAGCGACCGACAGCTGAACCAGCGATGATTATTGAGAAGACGAAGGGAATAAAGCCTGTGAGAGACGGTGGTAGTATCAGATAGCGGCGAATCGATCCAATTTACTATGTCAATTTGGCAAAGAGATACGAAACAAGCAATCTAATCTATCTCGTTTCGTCTTCAACATGGTGTTTTCAGTGCAACTTAATAGTTCAGTGCAACTCAACCTGCTATTGTGCAACATACTAAAATGCTTCATGTAATTTTGGGATTTTGGAACATGGAGCCTCCGGAGCAGGACGAGACGCCACTGGACGTGGATGCTGGTGAGGAGGAAGAGGAGGTGGAGATCTTCTCGGCCGATGCAACAGCTTCTGCACACTCCTCCGCGCCGTCTACTGACCGGACGTCGCTGTTGCCGCCGGCCCCGCGTCGCTGCGTGTCCAAGGAGATGCTGGAGCAAATGCCGACGCTTAGTATTAACGTTCGTAGCTTCAAATAGGCAGCTTTATCTGCAGTTTAGACTAAAAATCTCTGTATGTGTCAGACTCGCTACCATGATGTGACCATGCGCAAGCCTTTCGGCTGCTTCCACCTCATGCAGCTCATCGAAAAGTCCATTCAGGTGGGGGCGCTCTTCTCTCCCAAGCTCTTCGTGCCCAAGGAGATCTGGCAGCAGGACAGAGTCAAGCTCGCGGGTGTCCCTCTTAAAGTGGAGGTGTTTCATCAGCTCAAACAGGGGCTCGAGAAGACCAGTGTAAGTGTTAAAGACTGAGTATTTAGGCTGGGAAGAGGCTGACTGGGTCTGCATTACATTGTTACTATGTAGCATGCGCTGCCACTGTCATCGGATACAGCCAAAGCTGCGTTTGTTAAAGAGCTGGACTCACTCCTGGACTTCGCGAGACAAGAGCGCGTGCACTTGATCCGGTCGTTCCCATTTCTGCCTCAAGATAAGAGTCATGTTGCCCCGCAGCTGACGCGTAGAGGAAGCAGCAGTGTGGTAGGTTATTATGAAAGCTGAGTGATGCAGTGAGTGTAGTGAAATTCTGATGTTGTGGAGTATTTTTTGTAGGCAGAAGAGGGCTCTGCGGATGCTCACTCGTCTGGAATCGGCAAGCTGACAAATCTAGCTTTTGGGTTCGGACGCATGGTCAAGAAACAGGCTATTGCTGCGGTGGAACGCGTCGGTGCGGCTCCATCCGTTTCAGTGTACGAGCTGAGCTCTCGTTGAGAATCATGAGCATGGACGCTAATTATAAATTTTGACAGGTCTGTCGATGAGTTGGATGAGTACGCGGCTGTGCTCTGCATGTTCTTCAATTCCACGCGGAGCATTGGTACGATGCCATTGTGGTAGTGCAGTATCATAATAGGAAACAGTTTGTGATCTGATTGTGTTTGTTCAATGCGTAGAAAATTTACTTGGACTCCGAGCAGATGCTGACGGCACTCAAGAACAAGTGAACGATCCCAAGGCCGAAACGGAGGGCTCTCAATTGGACCCCACTACTCTGAAGAAGCTAGAAGATCTCGGTAAGATATTTGAAATATGTGGTCATAACGCTGAACGTACTCATGGTAAATGTGATGTTATTCACGGGGTAGCCATCTTCTTAGACGAGGTTGTCATCGAGCTTGTAATGCGCGATGTTCACACTCTTTTGGAGCTCTATATGCGAAGACTGACGCGGCAGTTCGGAGAGTTTACTGTGGAACAGGCGATGCTCAAACGCCATCCGTCGATATCGGCGTAGAAGTTGTTGCTTGAATTCACTTCAACTTCAATGAAATGGCTACATTTAGGTTGAAGCGTGTACCGTATTCACTGCACTAAGTTCGATGCGTAATCTGCCGATCATTCATGTCGTCGAGCAGGAAGAAGTCGAGGAAGGGCTCGTCCTCGCGGCGGCACGACGCTCCAGTGGACGAGTGGAAGCAATACACGTCCCCTGACGGACATCCATACTACTACAATGCCGCGACTAAGGAGAGCAGATGGGAGCTTCCCGTCGAGGAGGAGCCTGTGCGTCCGAAGCATCGACGACCTAAAGGAAGTCGACAGTTTGACCTAACTGAAGAAAATTCCCTAAAACAAGAATCCCTAAATCAGGACGAAGTACCTAAAGTCAAGAAGAACAAGAAGACGCGTCCTGAGAGTCGCAAGAGCGCGACAGAGGAAGCATCCAATGCTGTTAAGCCTAAGAACGCCATGTTCCAGAAGCTGCAGGCTTCGCTAGAGGGGAAACTTAATGGTCCCATGATGGGGATGGGGAGGCCGCCTCCTATGCTTAACATTAGGCAAAAGGAGGAGGTCGAGGAGGAGACGAAGACCCCGTCACTAGAGGAGCAGTACGAGGCCGAGACGGCTGGTATGAGTGCGGCCGAACGCCTACGTTTCTTGCGGAAGAAGAGACAGGAGAATATGATGAACAAGAGAGAAAGTATCGCTGGGGACGACTTTATGGCCGAAGTGGCTAACAATATGAAGAAAAAGGGAGTCACAGTGAAATCCGCAGAGAAGCAGCAAAATGGCAGTGAAAAGAGATCGAACTGGGAGGAGCAGGAGCAGGCTGAGGAGCAACGTAAACGACAGCAAATGCAGGATGAAATGGAGGCAAAAGAGAAGGAAGAGCAGAGAAAGCAGCGCGAACAGCAGGCTAAAGAGTTGGAACAGCGACGAGAACAGGAACGTGCGGAACAATTGGAAATCGAACAGCGACGTGACCAAGAACGGAAACAATTGGAGGAGGACAGAAAGAATAATGAGGAAAAGAAGACAGAGGATCACCATGAGGAGCTCAGTGACAGCGCGGAGGCTCCTGAGCCAGATGTGCGAAGCCGTTCGAGTACTACGGACAGGTCAGTAGTGCCACTTGAGGACTCGGATGCGTCTTCACCTGAACGCGAGGCGCACAGCAGGCGCAATGGAAGTCAAGGGAGTAAGCATGGCAGTTCACAAATCTCTGAGTTAGTTGAGCAGCAGGAAAATGTTGACGACCATGCGGCAGTAGAAAATGGACACAAGGTGGAGTCTGAGAATGCGGCAGACTCCGCTCGGGAGGAAAAGGAGCGCGCGCGAGAAGAACGACGAGCCCGGAGGAAGCGCGAAAAAGAGTTGACTACAGTGACACCAATCTCGGTGACATCGGAATCACCGCGGCGAAAGTCAGTGTCCAGCTCAAATGGACAGAAGGAGGAGCCAAGGACTCGCTCACCTAGTAGCGTTGAGGCTGAAGAGGAGGCAAGAGCGAGAGAGAAACAGCTGCGCCGTGAAAGACGAAGGATGGCGAAGATGGAAGCAGCATTAGCTGCCCAGAGCTTGGAAAGTAACGGCGAACAAGGAGATGCTCAACACGAGAAGCACTCGAATGGCAGCAATGATTCTTCTGGCTCAGGTCATGCCGGAGTCTACCCCATGAACGGACAACCAGTTCCTGGTCAGGCTGCCCCAGGACAACCACCTTTCAGCGGTGGAATGTACCCACAGTATCCGTACGCAATGATGCCACCACCACCACCGCCGCCGTATGGATATTACTATCCGTACATGCAACCCCCAATGCCAATGCCTGTGTATCCACCGAGTATGGTACCACCAGGTTATCAGTTAGTACCCCCTACGCCTCCACCTTCGGCGGACGGGATGCCAGCACCTTCCGCTCTAGTACCATACGGTGCAGACTCGACGCTGGCAAATGCGTACGGTATGAATATTGGGGGTATGTATCGTCAGCAGTCTGCTCCAGAATTAAGCAGATGTGACTGTTGTAAGGGAATTGGAGTTGGTTTGGTGGAAAAGAACGGTGTCTGCGCGCATTGCAACCGACTGCGTCTCGCTTTCATCGTTGATTCCGCTCAGATGCGACAGCGCTGCTCGGTTTGTGGTGGATGGGGGTTCCAACTACTTCAAGCGAATGGAATGTGCGAGCACTGCACCCGACAGACTGCACAAAAATCGAAAGCAAAAGTAGTTACCGAAGCTGCAACACGACGCAGTGTTGCTGCCCCTCCTCGGCGAAATTCAACGAGGACCACATCCAAGAACGATGGATTGAATGATATTGACTGGGATAAATCGTCCGATGATTCAGACTGGGACGACTGATCAACACCATCGTCGTTGGAAGAACAATAGAGAAATGTTTAGCCATAATGACGACCGCTTTTGATGGTTGCAACGAGCACTGCCAGTTATCGAATTTCGACAAGGTTGAATACTTGAAGAAATATAATTTTTTTCTGAAATGGGACGGGGAAATCTGTTTTCTCACACTGCACGATGTTGCACCGAGACAAGAAGCCAAGGCCTTCCATGACCGCAATATCGACGCACCCTCGAGTGGGTCGTCCATGCATTGCTGACACGTCCGAGTGGCCGTCGTTCCCTATATTCACAGCAGTTCGTTTAGTGTGCCGCGAATGTCTCGACGCGGATGGAACCGGCAGTTTGCTTCGAGTTATCGATACGTTTCTGGATAATCTGTCGGGGGCGTGGACATTGTCGACAGGGTACAAGAACTCGAATGGTAGCTTACGATTGCTGCAGTACCTCGTTGCTCGTGAGTCGAAGACGTTGGATCCATTTCTCCGACGTTGGGAGGTGAACTGCGTAACGGGAGAAATGGCAGCACGTGGCGATCTGCAAGGCCTGAAGTGGGTCACTGAAAAGTATCTGCCGGGAGAATTTCTGACAGAAGTTGTAGCTCAAGCTACGTGTAATGGACACTTGGACATCCTGAAGTTTCTATGGGAGAATCATCGCGGTGTGGGCTACTGGGGGGGAATCGAGCTGGTCGGAGCGATAAAAAATCACAATCGTGAGTTGGTGGACTGGTTAAGAATTCATGTTGATCTTCGACCCGAGTGTGCCCAGCATGTGATTAAACATGCAGCAGGGTATGGCAACTTGGAGGTGGTGCGCTGGTTGTGCGAACATTTTAATGTGGGGATTGCTGAGGCAATGAGTACAGCAGCATCGAACTGTCAGTGGGAGGTACTGCGCTGGCTGGTGACAACACAAGTTGTGGAGAGTCATAACCTCGATCCAGCACTCCACGATACCAATCTTTATTGGAGTCCCGCTCACCACGGTAATCTGGACATGATTATTTTTTTGTTCGAATGTAATTTAGTCCAAGATCCTGTGGAGGTTTTCCAAACGGCTGCTGCACGTGGTCACTTGCACATTATCAAGTGGCTTTACGAGGATAAAGGGATCTTGAATACTGGAGACGCGTTTTACTTTGCCGCAGAGAACGGGCATCTGGACGTGTTGAAGTATTTGAACGAGAAGGAGCAACGTGCAGACTCGTACCATGTTGCTTTGAATGCTGCCGCTGGGTCGGGGTCACTAGAGACTGTTCAGTGGCTCCATTATAATACCCGAGCTGGGTGTACGTATCGTGCTATGGACGTAGCTGCTGGTATGGGGCATCTTGAATTGGTGCAGTGGCTCCATGATACACGAACAGAAGGATGCAGTGCTTTGGCCATGTACTATGCAGCTAGAAATGGCCATCTCGAGACGGTGAAGTGGCTGCATTCAAACAGAAGCGAGGGTTGCCATGTTCTGACGATGAAGAGGGTCGCAGAGCGCGGTAACCTGGAGATGATTAAGTGGCTCCACGCTAACCGACACGAGACTTTCAATCTCGATGGAGTAATGGACGCTGCTGCCGCGCTCGGTGATTTGAGAATTTTGCAGTGGTTTCATGAAAATCGCGATGAAGGATGCAGCACTTTCGCGATGGACCAGGCGGCTGAAAATGGCCATCTTGAAGTGGTAAAGTGGCTACATGAACACCGTACGGAGGGATGTACTCAAAGAGCAATGAATGACGCCGCCATAAACGGACATTTGGAAGTGGTCAAATGGCTGCACTTGAATCGGAGTGAAGGGTGCACGACGTTAGCGATTGATGGTGCGGCTGGGAACAGTCATTTGAAGGTAGTCAAGTGGCTGCGTTGCCATCGCTCCCTGGGGTGCACACCCTTGGCTCTTGAATTGCTTTTTAGCAAGTCACGACGCCTTGATACCGCAGTGTTTCTCTTCTCGGAATTTCCAGAATGCCGTACATTCCACTTGGGGCCCGTGTTTGAGGTTGCCTGGGTCGAGATTGTGCAGTGGTTGCTTGAACGTGCCCCAAGTGCGCTGGAGGGCTGTATACTACGAGTTAAAGCATGGAACTGGCACGTCTGTGAGTGGCTTGAACAGACTAACTGGCGACGGGTTAGCACGGATAGTATCTTTTCATTCTGGGAGCGTTCATGAAGTTGGTGTCGAGTTAGTAAGGATAGCATCTTTTCATTCTGGGAGTGTTCATGAAGTGAGAGGGACTGATAGTAGTTGCGTCTATTTAGGGCGGTCTCACTAACTCAAGATGAACATATCTATTGTTAAGGTAACTTGATGGTCGAAGTTTTGAGTTCCCTACGGAGTGGCAGCATTTTCGACATGCTCTCGGAGCAAATTAAACAGCAAGAAACTACCAACAATCGCACTGCTGGATCCGATGAGCGGGTGCCAATTCGTCCAAAGAAGTCGTTCATTACAGAAGTGGAGCGTTTGAAGCGGTTATCAGTAAATGCCAACATAGAGAAACTTGCCGACACTCGTCCTGCTGAGGGGGCCACTGAAGTGTTCCAACTTATCGATAAAATGGCGGAAAAACAGCAACGAAGTAAACGTATCCGGGCGATGATGCAGAGGGCAGCTCACAAGACCATTCTCGTCGTAAGGACCAAGAATTCGATCCAAGCCGCAGAGATCGTGAGTGTTCGTTTCAATCCACACAAAGTCACCGAAGTGCCACGTAGCGTACAGCTGGAACAAATTCGTATCAAAGTTCTGCGTCATACTCGATTCTCTTCGGCCAAACGGCGGTCTCAGTTTGAGAAGATTTTCTCTGAGGCTCAGGAAATCGACGCACTGCTTAAAGACATGTTCTGGTACGTCACAGCCCATTGTTTCCAACCAGATAGACAGCCCAAGCTTGAAGCTAGTTTTTACCAGCGGATTGCAGATAGCTTCACGTCGCTATTTGTTCGTCTGCAAATGAAGCCTTCAAGTCGAGACGTGGGGTTCTTTGATCAGCTTCCAGATGTGGTGGCGCAAATACTGTTCGTCGCTCTCTACGAGGCCTTCCCACGCTCACGTAAGCTCATTTCTAGTGACGAGATACGCCATGAAATTCTACGTACGTGTTACTGCTGGATCCTCGGCTTCGTACCAGCAGATCTCAAGTATGACCACTGGGTAGCAGTAGACGAAGAATCCCCAAAGCGGATTGCAGCCCTCGCAGACTTCCCAGCTATGCGCAACCGGATAATAAGAGCGGAACGTGTAGAACGCACCAGACAAGCGGTCAAAACATGGCATGAAGACCAAGATGACGAAGACGAAGAGACTGAGCACCAATTAATCGGTGAGCAGGAGGTAACTGAATCAAGTGCGAAGCTTCTACCCAGTCTTGGGCACCAGAAACCTCGACGAAACTCTGCATTCTCGATCTCTCCTCCCAAAAATCGTCCTCGTCCATTAAGTGGCAATGGCAAATGTGGTGACAATGCGAAGTTAGCAGCTCACCTTGAAACTCGAGAGCGATACACTTACGAAATGTGTAACTCACCGTTGATCGGCGCTTTCCTCGCACGACACAAACTGGAGAATAACACACCTCATTTGCGCGTGCAAATGCGACTAACTAGCGGTAAACAGCGTGATCTAAATGATCAAGAAGCGTTTCGTGCTGCGACTGGAGTCGTTCCAGCACGTCGACGTCGTCTAGTGGATCCAACAGCATTCGGAGATGCGCTAGTGGAGCTAGAAACGTTTGGAAACACAGTTCGAACTGCTTTTTCAAGGGAGAAGGAACAGGCTCGAAGTCTTGATTCACGCGAAAGGAAGAGGCTTGTTGGAGAGCAACGTGCACTTGAAACGCAGTTGAGTGAACTGCGACAAAGTGGAGAGCGAATGCACGAGTTCAGTAACCAAATCGTGAGTAAATCGCACATTGATACATTCTTGAGACCGCCATCACGAGGAGCTTTATCGACGACGGCAGCAACCGAGTTGGTATCACCTGGAAGTGCTGGGTCTACTCGTCCTTTCACTCCACGTCCACCTCCGAGTCGAGCTGGGAGCTTTAAAGCGACAGGTACAGCTCGAACTCAAGTACAAGGAGGATCAACCCGAACAATAGGCAGCAACAGGAGTTAATACTGCGTTAGACAGCTTAGATTAGGTTAAAATGGTCTCAGCATTCGGTCCTCGAATCGTAGAGGTACTAATGAGCAAACCAGCAAAAAGTTTCGCCAACAAGTTAGAATACACGTCAGCTTGATGTGCATCGTGCAGACTGCTCTACAGTCGTTTGATGCCTTTCTTCTTGATAGCCTTCTTCTTCTTGAGCGAGTTGTCAGCATCACTGCTTGTTTTCTTCTTCTTCATCGGCGTCATCGCCGCATCGTTTCCATCAACGTTCGCACTGTCCTCTAACGGTCGTTTGTGTTGGTTGTAGCTGTTTCCATCAGTGCTTAAGCTCTTCTTTTCTTCCTCTCCGCTCGTCTCTCCGGCTTCCTCACATGCAGCCGATCGTTTCGGTGCGTGAATGTTTGTCCACAACTTGGCACGTCGCGCGTACTCGTCATAACTGTCCAGAAACAACTTCCCCGCCTCGTCATTCAGCGAGGACTCTGGGAACGGGACGATCAGCAGACAGCGAATCACCTGGAGCACATGAGCCAGACCGAGTGTCGCCTTCCAGTCCTTTTTCAACGTGTTGACGCAAATATCTCCCGCTGGTTGGGATACGTTGGGGTGGAAGATCTTGGTCAGGAAAACGCCACGCGGTGGCTGCTCCGGGAAACTCTCGGTGAGCGTGAGCTTGACTGTGAAGTAGCCTCCATGGTAGGGCGTGTCCTCCGGTCCACGAATTTCAGCGTGAATTTCGCTGAGCTGCTCTTGTTCCTGCGGGAGATAACGGATGCCGTCCAAAGGTTGTAAAACGAGCTTCCGGAGCTCACGAGCTACGCGCTGAGCCACTTGAGGCGGTAGATTCTCCCGTGTCAACTACAGATTAGGAAAAATAAACAGTCGATGGGCAGTTAGTCCAGTATTTTGAGACTTGTGAGACTTATAGAGAGGTCTAGAGTATGCAACAGCTATGCAATCAAAGAGAGAATAAAGGCAAAGATGATTCATGTGCATTTACCATTTGAAGTGACGTATGGGCGATGGTATGCACAGATGAAGACGACGATGTCGAGCCTTTCGCGGGAATAATTTCAAATGGCCCGTTTTGAACTCCATGAAGTAGTGTATGACACAATGAATTGACGCTATTATTAGCGAACACTACTATGTATTTATAGTGGAACATGAAACGACGCAGTGGTTTCCACAGATGGCTACCTTCCGAGTCCCTGCATCAAGGATGCAGCAGCCAGCGGAAGACGCCGCCCCCGAGCTGCTACGACGCAATGTGCCGTCTTTGAAGAGTATGTTCAAGTTCCGAGGACAGTCGGAGGATCAGGGCGTTGTCCGGAAGTCATCGGGGCGATCGAGTTCGTCCACGCCTCGAAATCTCATCGTGCCGGACTTGACGGACCTTGGCGAAGCTCAGCTCCCCACTGCACAGCCTGAGGAAAAGGTCCCTGTGTCCGGATCAGCAAGGAAGTATCGGCAGAGTGATGGCTCTAGTGTCCCTCCAGTTGAGTCCAAACACAAGACCAGCACACAATCTAAGGCACCGCGTTCGTTGCGTGGTAAACTACATTTCTACTGCGGCGATGGCAAAGCAGCAGTCGGCGCAGCACGTAGTGCGAGAAGAGCATTGGGTTATCTATCGTTGCAACAGGGTATAGCCTTCTTAATGCTGTTGGCTGGGATGCTGTCGGAGTCAGGCACACCAGCTCCGCGTTACAACGTTCCCATTGCCATCGGTCTCATCTTACTACCAGCGGCAGAAGACGACAGTGTGCAGCGTGAACATCACCGCCTATATATTACCGGGCTAGCACTGGCCACTGCTATTGACTTCGTGTGGCTCATGCGTCCGCAAGAAGAGGCATTCAATGGCTACTTTGTGGAAAGCACCAAGAGCTTCACCGATGTAGGAATCGCGCTATGTTCTCTCGCCAAGATCAGTCTCATATTCTGCAACTACTTGGAGCTCGTCGACACGGAGCCACCACTTGATGATGACAGTGTGGAGGCTCGAAAGGCGCCACAAATCGCACCGCCCAGCTTCCGTTTGTGGGATAAACTCAAGTTCTTCTTCCCAAGACGGACATTACCTAAACGTGCCGAACTGAGCCTTGAAGTGCTGCACCGTGTACTGGTACTCGCGTGGATACACCTATTCTGTGGTATACTGCTGCTTGGCCTAGGACTCATCTCGACTGCGTGGTATTCCGGACGCACGCAGTTCCGAGTTAACCCTGTAGGCATTCCGCTCTACATCATGCTGCTGCTTAAGTCAGCTACGACGTTGTTGACTTATCTCACAGTCTCTCATCGGATTAACTACGACGCTTGCCTCGAGCTCTACGGTTTGCGTTCGCGTGAATCCAATAGTCGAGTTCGAGAAGTGGACGGTGTGCAGATTCGTTTACCACAGGAACCCGTTCTAGCTTATAACCGAGCATGGCTGCATCGAGTACAGCGTGCAAAGGCTCTAGATGGTATTGCAGGAGGCTATCTCTTGCTTGTCTTCTACGCAGCTCTACGTAGCGGGCAAGTAGTAGGTGGACGAGGTGTTCCAGCGATGTTAGCCTGCATAGCACTAGTTCAACTCGTACTGGATGTGTGGACACCGCTGCTTATCTTAGTGGCTGGACGATGTGGCTTAGCATTGTATGTACTTCACCGTCGAGGTATACCTGGGACGGATCCACTGTTCCCGCCTCAACTTCGTTGGGATGACAGTGATGAAGATAGCGATGATTCCGACAGCAGTGACGATGATAGCGATGGTAGCGATGATTCTAACGGCGTTGTCTCGTATCACTCATCTTCATCCAGTGGAGACGCCGACAGAACTCCAGCCGAAAGACGAGAACGCAGACTACGTCACCGACAACGACGACTTGAGCTGCGAGCAAGTCCTCGTGAGCCTCAATTGCCCATCGTAGACGCGGACGCTGTAGCAGGAGATCAGACTGCACGTAGTGCTCGTGACATCGCCACTGCTCGGGATATCGTGGACAATGCCAATAGTTCTGGAACGGGAGCATGGGTGCGTCACTGGCACGAGGCATCAAGAAGAGCTTATCTTGTGCACTCGATCACCAATGAAGCAGTGTGGGAGGTTCCGAAACAGTCAAGTACACCACCGATGTCAGCTCGACAGCCTGCATCGGCAAGAGAACCCGCCAGACTCGACAGCACTCGAATCACACCGCAAGCTTTCGATGAACATTGGAACGAGTTGGCTGATAGCGGCGGCTTCAACTGCCGAGTCTCCCGGATCCCAGAGATCGCCGTCCTCGCTCGACATCTACACGAACACGACTTCATTGTCGTATCCGATGGTCTTGGTGTTTCCCAGCAACGTACAGTCCTGTTCTACGCGGAAGACTTTGAAGACAATGAGAATCCACGACTCATGTTCATGAGCGAGTTCGTCTTCGATAGTCTGAGTCTGAAGCTGCGAGCACGTTTCCGATGCACAGAACCTGAACAAATTGTCCAGTTCGTCAAAAGGTTACAACTCAAGGAGATCGTGGGCGCTTACGCCCCCTGCGACTGAAACCAACATGAGCAATACGAATCTATAATATTTGAGAACTTCCTTATTGGTTTGGCGCATGTCTACAGGACAAAATGCACATATGGCGAATTAGAGTATTAGAACGCACCAGTTGAAGCTTTACATGATGCTGCAGCGACGCTCGTCTCCTTCCTCTACAAAACGTTCGATGTCCTCGTCCGTGATCTTGCCTGGCTTCATGTTTTTCGGGAACAGGTCCTTCACCAGCACGCCTTCCATGTCTGAACGGAGGTAGAACAGCAAGTAGGCTGACGGACTAACGACTTGCTGTTCCTCCACAACACGGACACGCTCGTCGTCGTAATAATACCATTGGTCGTCTACAAAGTTCTTTGCATAGGCCGTGTAGTGACCTCCTCCAAGCGCACCCTGGTGATTCACGACACCGTACAAATTGTACTTGGTCTCCAGACATCGTGACTGATCCAAGTTTGAATTCGTGTACCCACGACGCACGCGGTTACGTACCGCTGCTGCTTGAGCTACAACTGCACGTTGGCTATCGGTCGTGGTCGTACAAGTGGCTTCGGTGTCCGCCGTCGTACTGTTACCTATCTTCGTATCGGGTGACGAGGACTCGCCGTCAGCAGCAGCGTCTTCAGCTTCAGCTGGCAGTTCACTATCTTCCGGTTTCTCTCCGCGGGTGTCTTCTTCCAACTCGGCCACTTGGCCGTGGGGTTTGTCCGTATCGGAACTAGCAGCAACCCCGTCTGTCGCATTGTGAGATGTAGGCGCAGTAGATCCGTTGCTAGCGGTACTCCCACCACGAGATCTTAGCTTAATTAGCTTACGAGCAGGGGCCGACATCCCACTTGAGGTACTCTTTGATCTCTTCATCGGGTACTTCTCCGGAATTTCGATATGCGGAGCTACGCAACATTGTAGGTCCAGGTCATGAATGGGAAACTCCACGAGTGATGCTAGCTTCCGTCGGTATGTCTGCGTGTACTGGAAACGCTTCAAATGCACCACCATCACTGGCGGGAGTCGCCAGATCTCGAGCTTCTTCGTCATTTCCTGATGTTTCCTGCAGCTCGAGCAGTAACCCTCGCTGATCTTCTCCTCGCTTGTAAATGCGTCCAAGCAGTGTTTCAGCGGTACAGGACCCTTGTCAATAGCCTCGTTACGTGCGACGCTTTCGTGGTTCTCGACGTGCTTCATCTTGTCCATTGTTTCCCGGTCCTGGAACACACTGAGGTCCCAGTCAATCGCAATTGCTTCTTCTTCCAGAACGTCTAAAGGCTCCGATGTGCACGGGATCGTCAATCCGAAGCTGCGTGTCAGCCACGATGATCGCGAGTCGGTCAGCCCTTTGTTCTCCACGCGACGCAGCAGGAAGCCGCACTTCGAGCTAAAAACCACAGACGCATCGTCGAGACCCGCAAAGACGCTGTCAATATGATTAGCAACAAGGCGGTCGGCATTCCGCGTCTCGTCCTCGTCCCACTCGGTTGGGGGCTTTGCATCGGGGCCCACATACTGCTTCACGCGTTCCCACACCAACTGATACAAGTGCAATCCGGTCGTAAGTTCGGGACAGAGGCGCACGAGGTTTGGCGAGCCGAAAGGAACAGGTCTGAAGGGGTTCTTAAAGTACACAGCCGAGTAGCTTAGCTTACGTGAAAGCAGGGGGATGTACAGCAGTCGGGCTTGGCGAGGTCGTAACCGATTCAGCGGCACCTTGATTTCATCCTCTGTGCGACGGAGACGTACAAGAACAACAGGTTGGTCTTCGTAGTCAGCATGAGCTGTAGGCGGTTCCAAAACAACAGCCGGAATGTATTCGTGCGTTTGGGTTCGCATGCGCACATCGACCAACACGCCTTTTGCCAATTTCTCGTAGAACGCCGAGTGATCAGTCTCATCTGGTCGTAGACCACCAGATCCAATCATCTGAACGTACGAGGGGCGACGATGACGAGTGGCTTGAATAGTTTCCGAGTCGAGCGGCTCCAATTGAAACGCAATGAGCCGGTCAATACTGCGAATCTGACCCACCCGACGATTGTCGGCCTTGAAGCTCAAGATCATCGATCCGCTAAACTCGCACAACTTGATGTCACTCTCGGAGACGTCGGGCAAATCGAACTCTTCGTGGCACATTTTCATCAGCTCGTGCTTCAGATCAAAGATCGTCGCGGAGATACTTAGTCGCACAGACACCTTCATCGGAGTGACACCATTGGCGAGCATCAACTGCACCGTCACCGTGTTATGTTTGGGCTCTGGTAGTGGTACCTGGAGAAAGGTAAACGGCTCGAATCGAGCCGACTTGAAGCCGCAAACGCTGCATGTCAGCAGCGACTTGTACTGACCCGTGAATAACGCAACAACAATTGATACCTCACGCCTTAAGTGGTTGCGCCACCATTCATCCGCCAGGTCAGCATCGTAGCGGCCATCGCTGTCTGGCTGCTCGATGTAGGGTTTATCTTGAATACGATTCAGGTCCTCGCTTAATCCACTCAGCAAAAAGGCAAGCAGCTCCTGAGCGTCTTGCTGGTCATTGCCACGGAATACTTCATTAAATTTGCCAATGGATTTCTTGAAGTTGCGCGGAGAAATGGACTTCTGCTTCACACACCACATGTCTTCAGCGAGCTTACCGTAGACCTCTGCCAACTTACCTTGCAGTCCTAGCGTGCTGGTGCGATTGATGTCCTCCAAATACATTCCTGATAGGAAGTATTCAGCCAGCAGCTTCGTGTTAGTTAGGCATTGCAAGGCAGAGTTCATATAGCACGTGTTGCCAAGATTCGCGAGTCCAACGGAGCCACCCGATCGCATGCGGCGTGGAAGAGCGAGTTCCTGCTTTCGACGACTTTCTTCTTCAGACGGTACAGAAGAGGAATCGTCTTCCACGTCGTCGACATCGTCTTCCTCTTCCATATCCGTGTCCGTTCCCTTACTCTTAGACTTCTTCTTCAAGAGTTTTTTCTTCGTCTCGGCTTCCCAAATGTCCAGCATGGTCTCACCGTCACCAGCAATTACAACCTGACGCTGAATCTCTGGACCACCACCATACCACAGCTTAAGTGCCATCCACAACTGCTCGCATATTATAACGTAGTGACGCCCTAGCTTGATTTCGTCGGATGTCTTGAGAATTCGATCACGACGATCACTCGTGAGCAGCGGGTAGTTATTAATGCACTTCGGACGGACAATCTCTCCCTTGAGGTTCTTCATGTAGTTGTCCTTGTTGGAGGTGCTACCACCATTGACCTGCACCTTTGACGTGCTAGGAGTAGAAGTGGAAGAAGTGCTTGTGGGAGGGTTCGATACAGGAGGTGACAGAGACAGAGACTCCTTCACATGAATTTTGATGTATCTGCACCAGTGAATATACCACTTGCGCTCAAGCAGATACCATCGGTCGTCCTCTACCAATGTGGTCGGGTCGTACGGAGTGTAGCAACCCGTCGCGATTAACAGTTCTTCCTCCTTCGTGGCCGGAACTAAGCCCAGGTCTATAAACGCCACCTCGCGCATGATTCGCAGCGTTGCCATCTCGTACTTTTGCTTGATTGCCCACGCCGTGAACTCTTCAAGTGTAAGAGTTAGAGCTTCAGTCTGCGCTGAAGACGAGCTCGCATCCCAAATTTTTCTCCTCTGTCCAAAGCCTTTCATGATGCCATCAACGAAAATACCCAATTCCGATCCCGATACTGACGGTGTCCTTGGACCCATGCTCTCAATCAGAGACGAGGACGAGGAGCTTTTCGTAGCGTTTAGAGCTGGGTGCTTCTTCTCAATGAGAGCCGTAATTTGACTTTCCAACTCGGGATTCTGCGTAATGTCCAGTCGAAGCATACTGTAGATATCTTCGCGTGTCATGTATGAGCCATCCTCAACGCTCGCAAAGAGTTTGAATGCAAATTCAGCTTTCTCCTTAGTACTACCTCGGCAAGCGATTGACAACGCGCTAACGAAGCTGAACACGTCAATTTCAGATCCATTCGCGCGCGAGCCAAAGCTGGTAAACACGCGACAAAACCGATCCTCGTTCATCTCCAGCGGGAAATCACTAGTAAGTGCATCCACGTCCACGGCATCACCGCCTCCCGAGGCACGATAGTTGTTAAAGGCGTCTTGCAGGACAGCCACCTCCTTAGCAGTAAAGTGTGTCTCATTCGCGAGGATCTTCTGCTGTACTACAGGGTTGAATTCTTCCTGTGACTCCAGAAGCTGTGGGTCAGCTGTCTCGCATAAAATATCGGCAAACGGTGCCATCCAGTCCACCAGCGTGTGATATGCCTTGAGCTCCGGAACAATCTTGATGAAATCATCGCAGCTCATGCGTACCCGCCCCTGATCGAACCCTTCACTCAGCAAACGACGATATTCCGGTCGATCGAGCACATTTCTTCCATGAAGCGACACCAAGAAGTTGCTGAGCCCTGTACTCTGCACTTTCCCTGCATGATCCAGGTCGCACATGTTGAAGACAAATTGAAGCTGGTCTTCCATCGTACCACAGCTTAAGATCGCCACTGCCCGCAAGAATTCGTCCATATTAATGTCCGAGCCTTGACGATCAGATACAGCTTTCATAAAGCGCATAGCGAAGCTCGACGGCATATCCGGGAAAACACCGAGAATGTCCCTACGGAAGGAAGCGCGGCTAATACAAATCTGCGATCCAGCCGTGTGCATGATGACACTGTGGCGGTTGCCGTTCTCATCCGTCGTACTGCCCTTCGAAGGCTCGCCAGCACTAGTCGGGGCCGCCGTATCCTTCACTGGTGACGTGGGGGGACGTCCTCCCGACGAGGTTGGCGCCGAGCTTGTCGAGCTGCGTGAGCTCTCGGCCTCTGTCTTATGTCCACCGGACGTATTTCCATGGTATAAATATTTAGAAGAGCAAAGCCTCTTGAAAGCGGCCGAGAAATCCTCTAGCTGCTCAGGTGGCAGCATGTTCTTCATCCTCTCCGACTCCAGTTCCTTCTTGTGTCGCTGCAGTTTGCGTTCGTACGACTCCATATGCGCATACACCTCCAAGAAGTTAAACAACGGCACCCGAATGAGCGGTCGAATATCCAGAACCTCGTTAATGTACTTTTCCAGCTCACTGCGTCGCTGCTCCACGACACTTTGATGGCGATTGCGGAACACATGACGCTTAGGGAAGTACAACTGCTTGACGGGCGAGCTGGTTCTCTTGAGGCGTTCATGGAGTTCTCTAAAGTCCGAGTAGCGCTTGCGAATGAGCCACTGCAGACCTCCCTGCAGTCTTACTTCGACCGAAAAGACCGTGTGCGTCGTCTTTTCAATCTCCGCCTCAGTGACTCCATCTGTAGGGAGTGTCACGCTCTCGATCTCAAAAGATGGAGCGGATCCCGACGACGGACTCGAATAGGCTGACTCGTTCGTTTGTCTTTCCCTAGTGCGAAGGCCAATGAGTTCACTAGACGTGTGGGACCGCTCTAGCGTCGGGGCGGAGCGAGCGCTGCCGACCTTGGGTAGCTGCGGTACGATATCCTTACTCTCAGTCGTGACGTCGGGCGCGTCATTGGCCGCGCGGTCGGAGGACGTGGAAGACGGGGACGGCGACATGGCAGTGTCCAGCGGCGTTGGCGCGTTGGGGGCTGATGCTGTCTCCCCGTTGGCGCCCCGCAGACTGAGCTCTGAGGCCGAGGAGAGCGATACGGCGTCCTCTTCCTCGGCGATGGAGGCCACACGGGCGCTGTTGGTGTCGTCGCCGCTGCTGTTGGCCGCGTCTGCGTCGTCTCCGCGCAGCGCCAGATCGTACGCGGGCAAGCTCGAGCTCTTGCGTAGTATCGGAGGTGCGGATGACGGTGCTGGCGGCTCCGTCGAGTTCTCCATGACGACACTGGAGCCTTAGTGGCGGAAGATGTGAGTGCGGAATGCAAGAGTGATGGTCGCGTGAGTTGAGGCTGCGCCCTTGCGGTCTCTTGTGGAGCTTTTGCGTTTGGTGTTGTTCGGTTTCCAAAATTCCCCTCCCCCTGACGGAAGTTGTAATCTTCGTTTTGTGTGAGCACCAACTTTGGTCTTAAATGGGCAAAAGGCTCTGGATATAATAAAAGGGACAAAAAATGAGCAGTTCAACCGCATGAGAGCTGCTCGACGTGTCGACGTTGGTTAAAATGCTGTGCGCCCTCGCAAGCAACGACGCCGATGTGGCGACTCCGACGTAGGGAAGAGCTACTGCACATGTATGCAGATGACAGTGTCCACAGCAACTGTGGAGGAAACTGCAATTAATAGCTTCATTACAGTTTTGAGCTGCGAACAGCGTTTCTAATAACATGTGTTGCCCAATTAAAGCCATCATTCACACCGAAAATCGGACGAGTTTTCGAAGTGGTTTATTGGAAAAAGAATGTCATTGCTGCAGCTTCAAGACAAAATGAGTCAGGGTGGCACTCAACCAGATAACGGTCTAGTTTCAACGGGCACTGCCACTTTGTACGTGTGCACGCTTCTGGTGAAAAATTAATTTACATGCGGTTCTACAGTACATAATTCTTACTCACCGTACAGCAAAAGCGCTTGCTTATTGTGTCGTTATCGCTCGTATTCTTTTGGTGGTATAATACACACGATTCATTACATCTAAGTACCGTGCTGTGAGCCTGCTCACTTGTCCGTTGCCAGTAAAAATGTGGACATATCTTTGCTATGTTCGCTTTTGTTTGACAAAGTTCCTACGTGCATTACCAAATCTTTTCACGACAACGTGCCCCATATTTGCACTTGAGTGTGGTGTTAGTAAAGCTTTATCTCATTCTTAACGTGCGTTGACAGGTTTCCTGTTGATCTCTTACAAGTTGCGCGAGATTTAAAAATGAAAATAATTCCTACGTCGTGTTAACGCCACTAGTACTTGTATTTCGAAAGGATCGCAGGGATTCAATCAGATTCTAGCTATATATCATTGTACGAACACACGCTGCTTTAGATCACAGGTCGGTTTTACTGTTATTGTTAACACGGTCGAAAAAGTCTTCTCCATGCTTTCATAGTTTTAGAATAAGAGCATTGAAGTATGAGTGATGGTCCCATTTTTGCATTAAATGGGTTGTTTGCTGATGTCGTTGGATCGCAGTTGAAGTTTTTGGGTCTTTTGATTTGCTAGTCGACAGCTGATGTCAATCGAAACTTAGCCCAGCAGCCTGCTGAGGCGATGAGCGCCACATCATGTATTGCAATTGGAAAAAGTTACGATTAATCCGGAATTACAAGTCGTCGTCGCTGTCCGTATCGAAGCTCGAGAGCTCCAGTAGCCGCTTGGCGCGTTGCAACAACTTGGCGCGGTCGTCCTCGATGGTTTCATCCTCCTCGTCGCTCTCGTATCTAACATTGAGCGATTCGTCAATACTCTCGTCCTCCTTCTCCTCATCACTGAAGTCGTCGAACCGAATTCCCAACTTCTTCTCGAGCTCGGCAATCGGTCGCTGCAGAGCATCCATCACATTGGAGCTCACGTACTCCTCGCTATCGCTATCCGAGTCCTCTTTCGGTTCGGCTATCAGCGGCTGCAGTGCACCGACCACAGTCGATTTCACGTGCTCCTTGCTGTCGCTTTCGGGATTTTCATGCTCGATGGGAGGTGAAACGGCTTCCTCAGCATGCTGATCATTCGTGGGAGTATGAGGCTCACCAGTCCTAACTGGAGTGTATACACGTTCCTGGGTCTGTGTATATTCTCGAAAAGCAGCTTGAGGCGTGGACACATCTTCGCTCTTCACCGAGTCGTTTTGGGGTGCTTGCGGTGTAGATACATCTTCATCCAGCACTTTCAAGAGGTTTCGAGCAGGTCGAGGGGTAAACAAACCTTCTTCATGGACTTGCAAGAAATCGAGCGTAGCGGGTGAAATGGACTTTGCTTCGTCGCTCTCCATCGAGAACTTCCGGAAGTCCATCGGTGTGGACACCCCTACAGCTTGTGGTTGCGAGAAAATGCAATTTTTTGGGGGTGTGAAGGCCTCTTCATCATGCACGTGTTCGTGCAAGAAATCTCGTGTGGAATCGGGTGAGTGAATGGCTTCATTTTCAGCCTGCGCAGACTCGCGGACAACTTGACGCGAAGGTTTTTGTGGGGTACTGAATCTCGCCGTATCCATATCGTGGCTTCTCTCTTCTTCTTGCATCCAATAGCCTTCCTCATTTTGTCTTGATCGACCACTACGAGTAGATCCGGCAACCCGCGCAGTCTCTTCCCGTGAATGCTCCTCAACATTTTCACCATCGCTGTCACTACTGCTCCTGCTGCTGCTAACGTTTCCCAACGCTTTCTCCAATAAACTCATTTCCGCCATTGTTCTACGCATTGAAGCACTGGCAAAACTCATGCTGCTATCACTACTAAGTGGACCTTGTATGGGTGCACGAGAAGCAAATTGGGAAAACGTGTAGTCTGGAGTGCGTGGAGGGGATTCATCTCGCTCACTCAGGATCCTGCCACTAGTAGGTCGCCTAGGGGTCTCCTCCCTGTCAGATACTGCGCTTTCATCGAGAGATCGGTGAGCGATGTTGCGTCCTCGTCGTTTATCTACGCTCACTGCCTCGTGGCAAGTAAAATTCGTTGCGTGGTGTATAGAATCCCTGTCCTCTTCCTCATGTACACGAGTCTTAGCTCGTCTGGGGCTTCCAGAAAGGTGTTCATCTGCGTTGATGTTGATCTCGTCACCCACTTCGTCATGCTCTTGCTGCTCCTTCCGACGAGCACGACGCGCTGTTTCCAGTTCCAGCAGCTCTTGGTCCTTTGCATATTGTTGCTCCAAAAGTTTTTGTTCAAGTTCCTGGCGGACGCGCTGTTCTTGGTTATAAAGCGCGCGTTCCTCTTGTCGATGTAGATTACTCTTAGCTTTGCGTGTCTGCTCTTCGTCCTCCCTCTTCCAGCTCTCAAATTTCAGCATATATTGTACCTCTTGCTGTTTCAATCGAGTCTCGAACTCGGTGCGAAGACGTGACAATCTCTCTTCCATTTCGCGCTGCTTGTGGATTCCTCGCACGCGGTCGTGTGTCTCAACTTCGACTCGCTGCAAGTCTTCTTCTTGCTTACGAGAGGAAATCTCGAACTCCATACGCTCTTTCTGCATCGCAAGCACGCTTTCCATCCGCTGATACTCCGTTTGAAGCATTTTAGATGCCTCTTCCAGCGATTCAGTGGCAGATCTCTCCATATTGCTGAGATGTTGGAGTCTTCGCTTCCGAGTCTCGTAGTCGAGCGTTTTGAGGTGAAGTATCCTCTCCTTTTCAACAGCGATAGCTTCTTTCCGCCGGCGTTCTTCGGCCATGAGGACCATTTTTCTCTCCTTCATCCACTTTTCATGTTCTGCCTTGAGCTTTGCCGATTCTTGTTCAATCTGATCAAAAAGCGTTTGCTTACGGGCCAGCTCTGCCTCCTCTAATGCGATTCGATTGCGTTCCTGGCACCATAGTAACAAACAGCTTAGTGTGATCCCTATTAACACCGGACCAGGCAGTACTTACGCTGATCTGGAAGTCAACAACAAATCGTGGATAGTGCGCAAACGCGGGGTACTGTCCTCTCGGCAGTGGCCAATATGGTCCTTGGCTTGAAGCAGCGTTATCTGTAGCTGCTGGATCTTCAATCGCCGTAAACTCGCTCAGATCCAGCTTTTCGCGCAGGTTCATCATGAGTTGAACAAACTTTTGAATGTCAATCGCGTTCTGCTGGTGGAAAAACTGTTCGATCGAAAATCTATCGCACGCAGCGAGGAGCGCTGATCGAAAGTAGGATAGATACGTCAATACAGCAACATAGATCAGTTGCGGAGTGTCCGAAAATGCAAAGAGATGGTCCCATAGACACATCCACTCGTCTTCACTGAGCACTTCCGTGAAAATAGTCTTGAGCAAACTCCAAGCGAACGCCTCGGACGTAATTTGGTAACGAGTAAAGTGATCAAGCAGCTGCGAATCCCGTCTAGCTAGTTCGGTTTCGATTGCTCGCATAGCAAACACCGGCGGATACGGTAGACTGATGAGGAAGTCACCGCACCAATGGAGTAGAACACTAATACTCGCTTCAAAAGCTGCCAGATCATTCTCCCGAAAAATCTTGACGAATGGATACACCACAGCAGGCAGATAACTGACTTCACCGAAGGCTGGACACCAGTACACAATTGCCGAAAGAATGCGGTGGAGACGACGAAAGAGACGGCCATCTTGTAGTGGATACTGGTCCTTTAACCGTACGAATACCGGGTGCTTGCCTTTCGCCACCAAAGATCGGAAAGCTTCTTCGTTCTTGGGTAGACGAAGGAGAAATCGCCAAACGAGAACACGGTATTTCCTCGGGAACATGCCATTGACCTTCAAGCTGCCAACGAGACGCTTGCGATTCACCTCGATTTCTTGAGGCGTCAGTTGGGCGACAGGACGCGTTAGTGGGCTCATGCGTCGAGTCCGAATTCTGTCCCGTAACGTTGGAGACTCATAGTCCTTTACTTTTTTGCTTGGTACACTGAATGATCCTCCAGTAGCCCGAACACGCGCTCGTGTGGCACTTGCTGGTCGCGAGCGTGATGTTTCAGTTGGTCCTGCCAATACTGTATCACCTCGAGTCCTTGGAGAACGACCGCTGCGTCTAGGGTATTTTGCTCCAAACAAGCTATCGATCAGCTTTGAAGGAACTGGACGGCTTTGTTCTGGTGCATTTATCTCCACTTCGTTAGAATCTGCAGTTGGATCGATACCAGAGAATACCATATCTTCCAAACCAGATCGCGTCCGTAAGTGAGCGTGCTCTCTTAGCTCAACCAATCCCTCTTTTCTCCGCCGTTCTTGAGCACGAGCTGCCGTTTCCCTAGTAATTTCCATATCGTACAATAGCAGGAAGCCATCGCTACGTACAACAAAAGTGTAAGTAAAAAAATGTGATCATCATAAGTATTTCCGTACCTTGTGGACGCTGCAAGATAGCGCGCATGGTACTCGATATCAAATGCGGTAATAATACGGCCTCGGTTGGAAATTTCCAGTTTAATCTGAGGGTTCTTCGCAGCAACGTCGAGGAAGAAAACGCCTCCATCATCGGCTAAGATGCTGAGCATAGTGTTGTGTCCAGGAAGGAATGCGTGCTGTAATAACATATTCCAGTCATTACAGCGTAAATCAAAATCCAACCTTAGCTGTACTCACACTGACGACTTGATTGATCGGCGGTGGGAGTTCAATGATCCGAATTATCGTCTGCGACTCAAACTCCCACACATAAATGAACGGCGCTCGCCCACTACATCAATTCAACATCACAACAAGTTAGCAAGTGCAATACACAGTCCTTAACATTCATAGAATATAGTCACCTGGCCACCAGCACTTGATGGTCATCCGAGACCGCGATCTTCTGCAGTCCCGGCGACTGCTCCTTCTCAGGCAGTGAGAATCGGTATCTCAACGCAAGCGACTCGAGCTCCCACATCATGATCGTGTCATCTTGGAAGCACACGGCCACGAGGTCACCTTTTGCCACAAACATGGCCGCCTCCACCCCCGGCCCAGCATTGAGCACCCGATATCTCGACCAATCCTTCGTATCCCACAGAATCACCGCGTCCTGCGAGGCTGTGAGTGCCAATTGACCTGATTTCTGGAAGGATGCGCACCGGGCCGGCAGCCGGTGGCCTCTGAGCGTGCTGATGAGCGTCTGTGACTGAACGTCGATGCATCGCACGGTCTCGTCCTCGCAGGTCACGAGAAGCTCCGTCTTACGCTTGGGACTGAAGCAGCAGCTGATGGTGGGTATGCCCAAGTGCTGCACCAGCGAGTAGCGGTTGGTCGTCACGAAGAAGACGAAGATGTGGCCGCGCTCGTCCGTGGCCGCCAACAGCTCACCCGACACGTTGAAGGCCACAGCTCGGAAAGTCGTAGGTCGCTTGTCGTACGAGCTCAGCGACAGATTTTGCACGCATGAGAGCAGTCCTTTACTGCTGACCAAGGGCCGGCGCGGCCAGATGACGCCGTCCTGCGTCGCGCGCAGCACCAGCGTCTGCACCATGGCCAAGTCGTCGCACCGTTCCCGCGTCAAATGATTCAAAATGTAGAAAATGCACTACTGAACTAAGTCTGAAAATGATCTTTACAATAAAACAATATATATCAGAGTATAAAATAGTAGAATCTATTACGGTATTTTCGGTGTTTCGATTTTAGGTGAAGGTTTCATCTATTCAAGGTTATTGTTTATGAAAGGTTCTGGAACTCAGCTTCCTGATACTTTTAGTTCAGCACTTGACACGTCAAGTGAAGCGGCACAAGCAGCTCCGATGGCTGAGACCGCTCTGTCCCCACGCAAGCGTCTACCGCGCCTGAATGTGGACGGACCCTCCTTTCCGGACGACGAGCGCGTTGTGTCGCTGGCTGTCGCGCCGTCTTCTCCATCAACGGCGTCTACTTCCAGCACTGCCGACGTCTCTTCCTTGACTGTCGTCAACGCCAAGACCAAGACTACGACACAGTCCCCGCCGTATGAGCCAAGCCGCCTGCACGAGCGTGCCACCTCTCGACTTGTGGCTAAAATTGACGAGACCAGCGACGACCGCGGCAGCGACGCGAGTGACGAGAGTGTCGACGGGCTTTCGAGGCTGCAGCAGCTCCGCAACTGGGTGCGACGATTGCGTCAGACCTTTGGCACGTCGTTCCTGCTGCTCGTGAGCACAGTATATGCTGTGCAGGGCTTCACGAGCTTCAGCGCTCTAGCAGTCAACTATTTCTTTAAGGATAATCTACAGCTGCAGCCAGCTGAGTCGCAGTCGCTCCTCACTTTCATGATGGTTCCCTGGGGCATTAAGCCGCTGTATGGCATCGTCTCAGACAGTTTGCCGCTCTTTGGCTACCACCGCAAGTCGTACATGATGCTGTGCAGTGCCATGGGTACAATTGCGACGTTGACATTAGCCGTACCTGACCTCATTACGACTCCGGTTGGTGCTGTGCTCGTTCTCATGCTCAATAGTTTATCAACGGCGGTAATTGACGTGGTAATTGATGCCAGAGTTGTGGAGATGTCGAGATTAGATCCCAAATACGGTGCGAATGATCTACAGTCAGTATCGTGGGTCTCCATGTCGGTGGGTGGTGTGCTGGGATCGTTCCTGTCCGGGCCAGCGACACACAATCTCGGAGTTCGTGGTGTGTTCTGCTTCGCGGCGATTGGACCGCTTACAATTTTGATCTTCTCCACGTCGATGCACGAGGCGAAGACAACAGTGAGCAAGCGCCACTGGAAAACCTCAGCCAAGAGACAGTTTAGACAACTCAAGGGTGCAATTTACACGCCCGTAATTTGGATGTGCGCGCTCTGGGTGTTCCTGTCCGGTGCTATCAGTCCCGGATACTCGCAAGTGTTTTTCTACTTCTCGACGGACGTGCTGAAGTTTACACCAGAGTTTTTGGGAACTGTATCTGCGTTTGGGTTTATCTTCCTCATGGTGGGTACCATGCTGTACAACGCGTGCTTCAAGGACATGTCATTCCGTCGCGTCTTCTTCATCGCTCAGCTCAGTTTGGCTGTTGTGTCGATGTTGGACGTCGTATTGGTCACACGCGCTAACTTGGACGTTGGTATCCCGGACAAAGCGTTTGTTCTAGGTGATGCCGTTATCGCTGACGTCATCAGCCGCCTCAAGACGATGCCAGTGATGGTGCTCTGTGCCAAACTCTGCCCCAAAGGTATCGAGGGCACGCTGTTCGCGCTGTTGATGTCCATTTCCAATTTTTCTCGGAGTGTGAGCGAGTTCTGGGGAGCTCTCGTGTGTGCATGGTTGGGCATCGCCAAGGACGAGTACGACATGCTGTGGCTCGCCATTATTCTACGCAGCGTGCTCAAGGTGGTTCCCATCTTCTTCCTCTTCCTGATCCCAGCGACGGATCCTCAGGAAATTGTGGACGAACTGGACTTCAGCTCACCTGTCCATGGTGACGCAAATAAGGACGAGAACGTGGAGGTTGATGATGAAGATGAACACTCCGGGACGATTCGTGCAGACCACACAGTCAACGACTGCTCTCCAACTGAAGAAGAGCAGAAAGGCTCGGTCAATGCTGTCGTTTGATAACCGTTTACTAGTTCTACAACTTTGTTATGGGGAACGAGGCTACATGTAAAGAAGGATTGGGTCTGAAAACTCGACCATCGTACAATATGGAGGTAGATTCTCTATTATATCTCGACATGTCGGCACCGACTGACGGAGATTGTTGCTGCTTTACTCATGCGTTCGTGTCCTCGTCGACCAGCTCGGAGAACGAGATGACCATGGCTGTGATGTTGTCCATGCTGCGCTTCAGCAGAGCTGCCTCCACGAGGGCATTCGCAGCAAACTGCAGCGCTTCCTTGGTCACATCTTCGGAGCTTGTAGGCTCCTCTGACCAGTGAAACTCAGCCACCTTGGCGCGCACGATCTTGGCAGCATCGTCGTCACTCAAGCGGTCCCATAGACCGTCGCTGGCAAACACGAGATACTCACCAGCCGCTTCCACGTTGAGTACACGAACATCTGGAACCACCGACACTAGAGGAGCAGAACAAGACGCTGGTAGATTCGTCTTGAGCGGGTGGTCACCGAGCGATCGACTGATGGCCAAACGCAGCGGGATCTGGTCGTGTGCTACGCGCCAGCATCCAGAGAAGATAACCTTCCCTCCCGCTTCTTCGACACGTTCAGTCTCCTCCTTGAGGTCAGGTTTGTGATCTACCGAGAGACGCACAGCACTTGGCACCTCTTCCTCCTCTTCGTCGTCACTGCTGTCGTCAGCCTGAGCCAACACAGCTCGCGAGTCGCCAAGGTTCGCAACAAAGAGCTTACCACCCACCAAGAGTCCCAGCAGTACAGTAGAGCCGTCGCGTTTGTTCAAAATGACGGTACGCTGCAGGATCTCGGCGTCTATGGTCGCAAATGCGTCCACCAATAGCTCACGGACTTTCTCCACGTCGTCCTCGGTCAGTTCCGAGTGCTGTGAGCGACGACTGATCTCCATCAGGTCTTCACTCTCGCCTAGCAAGTCTCTAAAACGACGACGCGCATACTCAGATGCATACGCACCATTGTGGCCATCATACACTGCCAGTAAGCTGGGCGACGAGTCGACGTCCTCGTCGTCATCTAGCAGACGCTCCACCACTGAGTAGCGATCTTCCATGTACGGACGCGCGCCTTGTGCGAGAGATACGCCAACCTGCACACGCATCTTCGTGGCTTCACGTTTCCTGTTTCTGTATTTGGGGTGGCAGATGGTCGTGAACTCGACGCAGCGTGGGGTTTTCGTCTCCTCCTCATGGAAACGCTTGAGCGCATTCTCAATCACGTCCACTTTGCGCCGCTTGCGTTCTCTGTTCTTCGCCACAAAGCGTTTGATAGTTGGTGTAGGTGACTTCACCTCTTTATCTTCAGGCAGCGGCCGGGATGGCTGGGAGTCCTCGAGTTCGTCAGGACTCGTCTCGGGTCCTTCACTGTCTAATGATCCTGCTGTAATCAGTACAACCCGCCGTCAGCAGTGCGTTCATCTGGTCGGACAACAACCAATTCGTAGTAATACTTACCAGACGTAGTGGGCGACAGCGACTGCCGTTTGCGCTTAGCAGCAGTTGGTGAGGTCGCGGAAGTCTCCGCTCCGGTGTTTGTTTCGTGTGGCGTCGAGGCGTCCATCTCATCAGCCGCGATCTGTTCGAGTGCGAGGATGCCAGCGCGTTGTAGTAGGCGTGGTGTGTGCGGCGACTTGCAGTTGTCAGGCGGCGTGGCCGAGCACATTTCAAGCCCGACCATACCGTTAACAGGAGAAGCCACCAGGACGTCGGCAGGGGCCATTGGTGTGGATTTATGAATGAGACGAGAGAGAGAGATGGAGAAATAGATGAAACGACCCCGATGGTCAGACGTTGCTACTTCACGAGGATGTGGCAGCCGATGTCGCGCACTCGCACTCAATTGCCCAAGGTCTTGACGGCTCGGCGCCAAATGGGAAGTGACTCGGTGCAAACCCCGCGCTTTCCAACGAAACCGATAGTTGCACTGCATCGTAATTGGCCAGTTCACGATGATTTAAACCTAACCTGTGTCGATTCGTACAAACCGCTGTATTCAAATACGCTTCTATAAATGATGCGATATTTTGGGTTATCACTTGAAATTAACTCTCCGAATTTATGATCCTTCAACAATTGATCTGTACCACATTTTCACCATCGAGGAACGATATGCTTTTGAACAGGGACGTCTTCTACATATGCATTTGAATAGTATTACTGCTCGAAGATGGAGCTCGATGGCGCGGTGAAGGCGGCACATGAGGTGCTTGCGCGCGCCGACGCTGACGCTGCCTATTGGATGCAGCAGTACAAGCGTTGTGTCGAGGACATCCACAACTGGGTGGAGGCTTCACCCCTCGACGAAGAAGAGTCGGCGCCACGCTACCGCCTTCTCCAGCAGACACTTCAGGACACGCGCCACGGCCTCGACTACGCCGTTCGCACAGCTTCCGATGCGCGACAAGAGCTTGCCAACGCGCGACAATTCTACCTCGCAGCAAGGACAATCACTCCGGTGTCAGCTCTACATGTAGCTCCCGCTTCACCGTCAATCCCGACAGTTTCAACCGAGTTGAGCCCGGCGCCGTTCCGGATCCGACCCACCCCTGCAGCTTCCAGCTCTGTACAGCCAGTGCGGACGCTGGAGACTGCTCCACCTGCTGCTGTGCGACGGTCTCTGAGCGTTGGGAGCGACGTTGGGTCTCCTGTCCCGCCGGAGATACGGAGATCGACGATACCTAGTGTTACGGTGAAGCGAGTTGGAAGAGATACAGTGTATTTAGTCCCCGCTAAGCGCGCCAGGTATCCGCGAGCCTTCAAGTGGGACGACAATTTGATGCACCATTTCCCCAAGGATTTCACGATCCCCGTGTGTCCCTTGTCGACTATGTGGGAGTACTGGGTGTGCGGCGATCCGATTGCCAAGTACCCACCTTTCCGCATCCTGGTTGCGCCGGAGCTAGAGGATGTCAAGACCAGGAGAATGCTGTCCTCACTGCGCTTTGTGATGCTCGAGATCGAGGCACGAGTGCTGGAACACGGTGCATGGTTGGACAAACCCAGTCCCAGAGATGCCGCCGCCATGCTAGAGACAGTGAAAGAGAGCATTGCAGCTCGTCCCGCCGCAAAGCGAGGCGAACTACACCCCGTTGAGCAGCTTCAGTGGACGTCGCTAGGTCGCATCCTACGTGACCAAAAGAAAATGATCGGTGAGGATGAAGAAAATGAAGAAGAAGAAGAGTAACCTAAGCTGTGTATCGTACACTGTATGTCGCTTTAAAACCTATCAGTCGCAACCGTTCAACGCACTCATGCATGTTCCCGTATTGACCGCAGCCGCCGTTGTGTGCCGGGGATGTCTGAGCGAGCATGGCGTGGAATTGCTGTCCCATGTGGTGACGGGCCTCGACGAGTATCTGAATACGTTCTCGAAGAACTGGACAGTGTCCCGAGCCTGCGAAGCCGGAATTTCTCGACGAGGACTTGAGTACCTTGCTGCTCGAGATCCAACCTGGGGAGAGGGTTGTAACGCTGCGTACGTCGCAGTGAAGAAGAACTGTCTGCACGTGCTGCAATGGCTGAACGAATGCTATCCTGATCGCACGTTGTGGGGAAGTCTACAAGGTCGCTGCTTCATAAACACAGCGGCAGAACGTGGTCACTTTGGAATCCTCAAGTGGCTTCATGTTAACCGCAAGGAAGGCTGCACCGTGTTCGCTATGAGTATCGTTGCTGCACATGGACGGTTGGAAATGGTGCAGTGGCTACATCAGAATCGCCGTGAGGGATGCACGAAGCAGGCGATGGACGATGCTGCTGGAAATGGCCATTTGGCGGTGGTGGAATGGCTACATACCAACCGCGACGAAGGGTGTACTGAAGATGCTATGGATGACGCCGCTGGAAATGGACATCTAGAGGTTTTGCGCTTTCTCCACGAGCATCGCAGTGAAGGATGCACCAGTACGGCGTTGAATCTGGCAGCTGCGCATGGACACTTGGAGGTAGTACAATGGCTGTGTGCTAATCGTAAGGAAGGACAAGTTGGTACGGCGTTGCGTGCTGCCACCGAGAACGGACATGTTGCCGTCGCAGAATGGCTATACGATGAGGTTCGTAGACAGCAACGCCGGAGCGAGTCAACGATCCGGAACGCTGTGCGTGCAGCAACGGAAGCGGGACATGGTAACGTGGCTAAGCTACTTGAGCGCAAGTTGAAGCGACAACGGGTTGAGTAGATAAACGGTTGGTCAAAGGGCAATACACTTCAGTCATTTTAAAGTCCTTTCCCATCAGAGAAGCTCTCCCTTTTCAGTAGCTCCCAGTCGAAAACTTTCTTGGCGAAGAATGAAAGCCTACCCCGTCCTGACATCGGCGCGGGTAGTTTGCCGCAAGTGTCTTCCCTCATGCGAGGTGGAACAACGAGGTCAGATTGAAAGACTCGTTGACTGCTATCTGGATACTCTCTTCTCTTGCTACAAAGTGAGGCAAGCTTGTAGATTGGGACTTCCGAGATGGGCATTGGAGTATCTAGCCGCTCGGGATCCCGATTGGAATAGCGCCGGTAACATCGCAGAGTACGCTACAATCAAAGGTTATCTCCACGTCTTGGAGTGGATTGGCGAATGTTATCTTGAACGTACATCATGGACCACAGCGGACGGTGGTTCGCTCATGGATATGGCTGCAGAGTTGGGTCATCTCTCAATCCTGCAATGGCTTCACGTAAACCGTAGCGAAGGATGCACTACGAACGCTATGGACAATGCTGCGGCGGCGGGGAACCTCGAGATCGTGAAGTGGCTTAATCTTTATCGACGTGAAGGCTGCACCAAGCAGGCTATGAATGATGCTGCTGCAAACGGTCATATTGCTGTAGTCGAGTGGCTTCATGAGCACCGTGGTGAAGGGTGTGATAAGTCTGCAGTAGGCAACGCCGCAGCAAATGGACATTTTGCAGTCGTGCGCTTTCTTCTAGAGAATCGTCGAGAAGGTGTAACTGGAGATGCCATGTGTCAGGCTGCTGCAAGTGGCCATCTCGAGATGGTACAGTGGCTGTACGTGAACCGCGGTGATAGTCATGTAGGAGCTGCCTTACGTTGCGCCGCTGACAATGGACATGCTACACTCGTGGAGTGGCTCTACTGGATCGTACGTGACGAACGCAGAGGGGCTTCGATCATTCGTGATGCCGCCCAAATTGCCTTAAAAGCTGGTCGTAAGAAAGTGGCCAAACAACTCGAGCGCAAATTGAAGCGCCCTCCGGAAGCCAAGGCAGCACAATCGAAGAAGAAAACCAAGCGCCGGCGTCGTCGGTACTAAAGTGGTGGTTGCCGTCTCGTACGGCCTGAATACGTGCGTCCCTATTTCTGACTTGCCGACAAATTGGCTGAAAGGTTTGTCATAAGCTTAGTAATAAGTTTTCTATCGGCGTTAACCTAAGAAGTTGTTGTGCGTTCAAACCGCTTCGTTACATGAAGTTTTTTTTTTTTTTTCAGAACATGTATGAAGTTATGAGCCGAAATAATACCGTGAAGAGCGTCGGCGCTCACGCAATGAAGCGTGAACAAAGGTTTTGGTAAGTTTGTGTGATTTCTTTGCAAACGTTACCTTGGCCTCGCAAAAGAGGTAAATTTCTTTACCCCGAGGACGTGGAACCAATGCCGGCGCTGACGAAGATTCACTGCAACCGGCAAGACTGGTGAAAGGGGAGACAAACCGGATGTGCTCATGGTCCATGTTCAAGCCCTGGATGCGTTCCCGAAGATGATTGGCTTGTGTCGGTGTGTCAAAGCCTCATGTCGCTCTTTCGTCGTCGGACGGGCCTGCTACGGCTTGGCCAGTCGCCGCAGCGCTCACTCAGGCCAGACTCACTTGTCACGTTAAATTTACCTCCGCATCGATACCCGCCCCTCATGCGTCCCTGTTGTTTCCTGCTTGTGGTGGTGTTCATCATAGCAGCGTGCTGTCACAGTATTTCCACCGCTGAACGCGCTCCTCAGACCAAAACCCAAGAGCTGACTTACAACCACGATCTCACAGTTGCTGAAAATGTGAAGCTCTATCTCAAGGACATCAAGAAGGCGGCCACGGAGGAAGAAAGAGCTTTTCCTGGAGGCACTCAACTGAGGGGATTTTTCGAGAAAATAGGCCAGGGAACCAACGCTAAGATCGCCGTGGACAAGGTCAAACAGGCTCTGCATAAGGACACCAGACATGCTTCGGTCTCAGTGGCTATCAGTCTTTTGAAAATGCTGATAGTTGTTGGCGTCATCTCGGTAGCAAGCGGCTACATTGTTTACCGTGTAACCAACAGTTAGTGATAACTTGGCACCTCGTTCTTATTAAGTGACAGCTTAACACATATCCGAACCAGCCTATTCCCATTCTTCTTCATCTAACTTGATTGCGGCAACTTTCGCTTTGAGAGCCTCTGTTTCAACCGAGTCTTGGTGGTTATGGCTGCTTTCCGCAACACTCGCAGTTACTGGCGACGACTTCTCTTCTTCCTTCTCGTTGTGCTCCTGTGAATCGGCGCTGTCTGCAGTGCCCTCTTCTTCAGTAGCACATTCGTCTTCGTCGTCACTCCAAGCATCGGCAACAACTGGGGCGCGACGAGGTTCGATGTGCTCCCAGCCACGGTTGACAGGAACAGGAGGTCTAGCTGGCACCGGTGCAGTCTGCTGAGGAGGTGTACTGCCACGCATCGGGAGGAACTTCAGTCGACTCGAAGCTTGAGCCGCACGCGCCTGCTTGTTCAGATTGCTAATGTGCGCAGACAACGTCACGCTGGGTACACGCGCATCCTCGCGCTTGAAGAAAGAAATACGACGGTGCGGATCTTCGCCAAACGATTCCGACACCACGCCGTAAAACGAAGCCAACTGGTGCATTAGAGCACGCTGTAAGAAGGAACCACACGTTAAGTTAAGAGTTCAATCAATACAATCTTCAGCTAAACGCACCTCTTCTCCCGTCATCACTCGCAGACTGACGCTATGGCATGACGGCTCCTGTACGATGCGCTCCAGTCGACGTTCAACCACCGTAAGGTAGCTTGTATTGGTCTTACCCCAGGCAACCAAATCGTCCGAGTAGTTGGGAGTCTTCATCTCTTCCTCAAAAGCGGCGGTATCTCCACTAGCAAGTCCTGGTCGATTAACTCCAAGAGCTTGAGCCAGTCTCTGGTTGCGCATTATTTGGCCTCGAGGCGGAGTGGGAATCTGTCTAGCTGAAGGCGTGTGGCTACTTGATGGCCGAGTAATAGCTGGTCTCAGCACTGGAGCCGGCGCAGGGCCAACAGGCGTCGGCAGCGCCGGGAACGCTTCCTCGAGTCGAACTGGAGGTGACGGTGGATGGTCACTGACACCGTAGTTCCAATGATCTGGCACTCCATCGGCGTAACCGGGATTGATCGGCCCACTAACAGGGTTACCGCCACCCCGTGCGACTTGAAAATTGAATTGTAGCCGATTGTGAACGCCGTGAACGGAGCTCATATGCGCTTGGTACTCAACATCGTTGGGGAAAACAACGAAGCGCATCTCAAGACTGCGTCAACGTACATCCGTCAGCATACCATACACAGACAAATAAGTACAAATTAAAAGAATAGACGTACCATCTTCGGTCCTCACACAAATGGTGCTCTCGACGGAAATGCGTTTCCAAACTTGCACTGCAACCACGACATAAATCGTTAAATATTGCAATATACCAATACAGCACAATAACAATAACTTACTAGTTGCGGAAGTACTCGTTCTCCACCTTGCAGATATGGCACTTGAAGTGGTCGCGTTCCAGATGTTCATACAGCTCTTTGTCTCCGTAGAATCGTTTCCGACAGAACTGGCACATCGGATGGAAGTCTTTGCCCGTGTTGGCATGTTTCTGCCCCGCGGGTCCTCCTCGACTACGTCCAATATTGTGTCCCTTGAGAGCACCCTTGGTAAACACCTCCTGCTCCTGAATAAAGAACGACTGGTGATTCAAGCACAGCTCACAGAACTCCACCCCGTGGTCATGGCGTAGATGTTCCTTCAACTGACCCAGCGAGTGCTTCAGCTCGCGACAGCGCTTCATCCTGCACTTGAACTCTCGCAGACTGCGCAGCTCATAGTAGTGCGCTTTGCAGTCTACAAAGATCATCTCGGAGGGCTCATCCAGCACCGACTCTGGTCCAGCTGCGTCGCCCCAGAGCTCGAAACTCTCATACGGACGCGAAATACTGCTGACCACCACGCGGTCCAGTGGCTGCTTGCACATGGGACAGTTGCGATCGTCCATAATGAGTCGCATGCGCATGGAGCACTTGCTGCAGATACCGTGGTGGTTGCATTCACCCACAGTGAAGAACCTAATGGGATCGGCACATAGTATACAATACTCGGGCTCGTCATCCTCTTCGGGTGTCGAGGTAGAAGCCGCCGCGTCTTGAGCAGCAGAATTCTTTTTGGTAGGTCTCTGCCGTCGCTTGGGCTTCGTTTTCTCTTCTGCTGCAGTCTCCGCTTCGTTTTGTTCTAGTGGAGGAGCAGAGTCTTTCTTTTTGCGGTGACGAGGCCGGGGGCGACGTTTGCGTTGGCCTGATGCGTCCTGGTCGGTGGTGGGTGCTGGGCCGTTGGCGGCACGTCGGCGAACGGAACTCGGCACCATCGTGAAGGCGGGCGTCAACGCTGATAGTGTGGAGGCTGACGCGATGCTGCTGGTAGCGGAGCTGCTTGCCACGCTCGCCATGGGGTGCTGCGTGCCGTGTGGCGCCTAGATGCTTAGATATGTGGGTACAGCGCACAGGACGGTTGAGAAGAGATATGAAGGATGAACCAGACCCATCCAACTGGACTCAGGCATGGGATCAGAAATATGAGTGATGGTCACATCTGATACTCCACCACCAAAAGGAATGCGCGAGGAAAGTTCGAGTAACCAAGCTGTAACCCAAGGGTATTCAAGATGGGCGCACGCTGAAACCACAGAATGTAGGAACCGGATTCAGTGCAGGTATGGCTAAATCCAGTGCAGATTTTGTAGACCAGATAAAGCCAGTTTCTGCGGTTCAGGTTGAACTTGATAGAAGGTAAAATATAAAAGAAGATAAATTACGTGACGGTTGGCACGTTTCGATTTTTGAAAAGTTTGCTCGCCTCCTGCGGTCCACAGACGCCATTCGTCGATCTTCCCCCTCGGACACACGCTGCAGAGTGAAGGTCACTTGAATGGCTGACCCGGTACGAAAGATACGT